GACTATCGTCGTTTGAACAAGATAACCCGCAAGGACGTCTATCCTTTGCCGCGCATTGATGACGCCATTGACACCCTTCACGGAGCGGAATTTTTCTCGTCGCTAGATTTGCGGTCTGGCTACTGGCAGGTCCCAATGGCAGAAGCCGATCGCCAAAAAAACGGCATTTATTACACCAGACGGACTATATGAATTTAACGTCATGCCCTTTGGGCTTTGTAACGCGCCTGCCACGTTTGAACGTCTTATGGATAATACGCTACGTGGCCTCAAATGGAATATGTGCCTGTGTTACCTCGACGATGTCGTGGTTTTCTCCCATGACTTTCCTACGCACCTCCTTCGCCTCAGGCACGTTTTGAGTTGTCTGACCAACGCTGGTCTGCAGCTTAACCTAAAAAAATGCCGCTTCGCTGCACGGGAGCTCGTCATCCTAGGCCACATCGTGTCCAAGCACGGCGTATTACCAGACCCAGCAAAACTTCGAGCAGTCGCAGAATTTCCCAAGCCGACGACCATGAAAGAACTTCGCAGTTTTGTAGGCCTATGCTCCTATTTCCGGCGCTTTGTTCGCAATTTTGCATCTATCATGTCACCGTTAACCCAGCTTCTTCGCGGTGACGTGAACCTCACCTCCTGGTCCCCTGCATGTGACGTTGCCTTCGCTACTCTGCGCCGTCTGCTTACTTCCCCACCTATTCTTCGCCACTTCGACCCGACGGCTCCTACCGAAGTGCACACCGACGCCAGCGGCGTCGGGCTAGGCGCGGTGCTCGCTCAACGAAAGCCCGGCTATTCAGAATACGTTGTAGCCTACGCTAGCCGCACTCTGACGAAAGCCGAAACTAATTACAGCGTGACAGAAAAAGAGTGTTTGGCTCTGGTGTGGGCGCTTGGAAAGTTCCGGCCGTACTTATACGGCCGCCCGTTCGATCTAGTGACTGATCACCACGCGCTTTGCTGGCTCTCCACATTGAAAGACCCTTCTGGCCGCCTTGCGCGATGGGCACTCCGCATCCAGGAGTACGACATTCGCGTCGTATGCCGCTGCGGACGCAAACACTCTGACGCTGATGCCCTGTCCCGCTCACCTTTGCCACCAGATCCAACGTGCGCAAACACGTGCCTCCAGTACTTGTCATCGTTAAATCTTGAATCAATTGCCACCGAACAACGTCGTGACCCGTGGATCGCCTCTCTTATCGAATATTTATCTGACACGCCCCACTTTCCAGTATCTCGATCCCTCCGACGTCAAGCTCTCCATTTCGCCATCCGTGATCAACTTCTTCATCGACGCAACTACGCTCCCGATGGCCGCCGGTGGTTGCTGGTCATTCCACGCACTTTACGATCGCAAGTATGCGCCTCCCTTCACGACGATCCGCAATGTGGCCACGCCGGAGTGTTCAAAACATATGAACGCCTTCGCCATCGCTATTACTGGCGCGGCATGTACAATTTTGTACGTAAATTTGTGCAGTGCTGTCCTGACTGCCAGCGACGTAAATCAACACTGCCACGTGCGACTGGCGCATTGCAGCCACTTCCATGCCCTGCCAAGCCATTTGATCGCGTCGGCGTTGACCTCTACGGTCCCCTTCCATTGACACCAGATGGTAATCGGTGGATTATAGTGGCGGTCGACCACCTGACACGCTACGCCGAAACAGCCGCTTTGCCGAGCGCTACAGCTCAGGATGTCGCCTCTTTCATTTTGCAACGCTTTATTCTTCGACATGGTGCACCTCGAGAGCTCCTTAGTGACAGAGGCCGCGCTTTTCTTTCCGAGGTCGTCAAAACTCTGCTTTCGGAATGCCACGTCATTCATCGGAAAACGACAGCATACCACCCGCAGACTAACGGACTAACGGAACGGTTCAACCGCACGCTAGGTGATATGCTCTCAATGTACGTGGCATCTGATCACAGCAACTGGGACCGTGTTCTCCCATACGTCACGTTCGCATATAACACCGCAATACAATCCACCACGGGATTCTCACCTTTCTTTCTTCTTTACGGACGTGAGCCTTCCCATACAATTGATACCCTACTTCCGTACCGTCCTGATGCTTCCGAGTGTCCACCTATCTCCGATGCTGCTAGACAAGCCGAAGAGTGCCGCCAGCTCGCCCGTGCGTTCACCTCGGAAGAACAACAACGCCAGAAAGAAACTTGTAGCACCTCTCTTCCGGATCCCAACTATGCCCCAGGGTCTCTTGTGTGGCTTGCCATCCCATACCAAACACCGGGACTCTCCTCGAAACTTGTCCCGCGGTACGAGGGGCCTTACACCGTTTTGGAGAAAACCTCTCCGGTTAATTTCCTAATTGAACCAGTTTCCCGATCGGACGACATGCGCCGGCGTGCACGTGACATCGTCCATGTTTCCCGACTGAAACCTTACCATGAGCCTTTGCCTGAAACTTCTTAAGTCGCCAGGATGGCTCCTTTTTCAGCGGGGGCGATTGTGAGGAAGAAGATGTGCCTGCAGCGAGCAGCATCGGCAACGCCTGGCTCTCTCGGCTCGTGCTTCGGTTCGTTGCTGTGCCGATCGCTGGACGGTTCTTGACGCTGTATCGTCGCTGTCTATAACGGCTAATAAACCTCCTCACCTCCTCACAATATATATATATATATATATATATATATATATATATATATATATATATATATATATATATATATATATATATATATATATATATATATATATATATATATATAGCGCACGAATATATATAGGGGATGTTATTAGGCCAATTGAATGTAAATGTTAAGAAAGATTAAGAAAGAAAACTGGGTGAAAAGATAACTTGCCGTAGGCAGGATCCGAATAACGCGTTCGATGCTCTACTCCCACGTTTAAATTCACATAGACACCCAATAAAGTGACTGGGGGGACAGCTGTTGCGGTAGCTCAGTAGTAGAGCATCGAACGCTGATATGTTAGCTACGTAGCAATATTGTGTCTGAACACGAAAAAACGAGCCCTTAAGTATACACTTGTTTCCTTTGACTACGCCCCTGGTATGCACTTCAGTTACAAGCGATCGTAGTGCTACAGACGTTCACAAGAACTTTTAATACGAACACGTACAGGTAAACTAGACTTCGGTGATTCGATGAATGAAGAATGAAATTAAGGGGAACGAAATTATGAGGAATGCATTTCTTACGTGTGGGCCTGCCAACGAGAAAACAAGGACGCGTTCACATTCCGAGAACGCTCAACTGTCAGACTCCAGCTCAATTGACCCGCATCGAATGCTACGATCGCGCGGTGACGGTTCTTGCTCACATTCCCTTACTGCGTCTCATTATTTATAAAGCTTTATTAATATTTCAAGCAACAAATTACATAAACTACGCATGCTGTGTTAAATAAGTTTCGCTATGTCACGTGCCACTGAAGTCAGAGCAGAGTTGTCTACGTAGAGAAAGAAGTGACCGGCCTTGGCTGCGTAGCAAGTAGCGTGTCGCGAAGCTAAGTTTTAGGAGATGTGATGGAAGCTCTGCTAAGGCAGGCCGCGTAGCGATGCAACCACACTACGTGTCTCACAATAATGTCGCGATCAAAAAAAAAAAAAAGAAAAAGAAAAAAAAAAAAACCTCCCCGTCGGGGAATCGAACCCCGGTCTCCCGCGTGACAGGCGGGGATACTGACCACTATACTAACGAGGACTACAGCTTCAACTCAATTACTGAAAATTTCATCAAGCCACCAGAGCGTTTTTTTTTTCTTTACAGCGAATAAGCAAAAAATGGGCTCATTACACCATGCTGAACAAGCTTTCCCAATAGCAGGTACCCTAAAGCAATATGTAGAACAGACTTGGGATGCTTGACGCTACGCTCCGTAACACAAAGTCTACCCAGGTGAAACGAAAGAAGGGGGTGTTCTTCGCATTCTGACGCCAAACCGCATTTTTTTTTTTTTTTTTTTCAGATATAGCAATTTGTAGGCACTTGTAACCTGTAGGGCCTGCCATAAATATTCACAAATATGACGTTTCAGACGCTGTATGTTTCTTGCGCATAATCTTGAAGCTGCACATGTCGTAATCTGCAGTAGTAGTTCAAAACGAATTCCAACATCGTACAACCTAATACCATACAAAACCTATGATTGGCTGTAAAAAAAAAAAAAAAAGTTCTTCCCGTCGGGGAATCGAACCCCGGTCTCCCGCGTGACAGGCGGGGATACTGACCACTATACTAACGAGGACTACAGCTTCAGATCAATTACTGAAAATCTCATCAGGCCACCAGAGCGTTTTTTTTTTTCTTTACAGAGAATAAGCAAAAAATGGGTTCATCACACCGTGCTGAACAAGCTTTCCCAATAGGAGGTATCTTAAAGCAATATGCAGAACAGACTTGGGATGCTTGACGCTACGCTCCGTAACACAAAGTCTAGCCAGGTGAAACGAAAGAAGGGGAAACGAAGAAAGATGCGGTTTGGCATTCTGACGCCAAACCGCATTTTTTTTTTTTTTCAGATATAGCAATTCGTAGGCACTTGTAACCTGTAGGGCCTGACATAAATATTCACAAATATGACGTTTCAGACGCTGTATGCTTCTTGCGTATAATCTTGAAGCTGCACATGTCGTAATCTGCAGTAGTATGACGATAGTTATAGCGCGAGAACAAAACGACGACAGAGACAAGAAGGACACGTCTCTGTGTCGTCGTTTTGTTCTAGAGACAAGAAGGACACGTCTCTGTGTCGTCGTTTTGTTCTCGCGCTATAACTATCGTCATGTCATACCAACTAGCCCAAGCTTCCATACTGCAGTAGTAGTTCAAAACGAATTCCAACACCGTACAACCTAATACCATACAAAACCTATGATTGGCTGTAAAAAAAATCCTCCCCGTCGGGGAATCGAACCCCGGTCTCCCGCGTGACAGGCGGGGATACTGACCACTATACTAACGAGGACTGACGGATTCGGTCTTTTAAGTCTTTTAAGAACTACATACACACTCACCCAAAGCTAGCACTAACGATGCCGACGATGCCTGTTCCCGAGCCCAACTCCAGAACATTTTTCTTCGCATCCCACTCGCCAACACAGTTCTTGTGGTCGATGTATTTACCCAGCACGAGCGCGCCGTCCCACACGACGCAACCCACGTCTCCTTCCATCCACTGATGTATGGCGAGCTCGACATCCGTTGAGTCTAAATGCACAGTGCGTACGAACGTGGACGCGTTCATCGGGTACAACGAAGAAATAAACGAACAAAATCATGCAACACCGTGTTTGATGTCGCTTATATCACTCAGATGACCTGAAACTTGGCGCGCACGTACTTAGGCCATACGGGTATCCGCGGTAACAAAGAGCCCTAGTAACCGGTTTTCTTTGAAACAAACCCGTACGTTTATTAGAAGGTTTATCACGAAGAAACTTTGTCGCAGTTCTCGAAATTTTCGATGTGCTGCGGTAAAGCGTGGCTCGCAAAAAAGCGTTGGCTACTGTTTCGCGGCTGAGGCCGAAGCAGCTGACGTGTAAACTACGTGTGCTGCGGCTAACGGCTGAGAGCCGCTTGCTGTGTCAACATAAACTAACGCGAGGGGTCTCTTCGGTTTTCAGACGACGATGAGGCGAGGCGAGTGTGCGTGTAAGTTTGTTTGAAACTTCTACTTTCGTGCCCGAAAAGTGCCTTACGTTGGGTCCCGCGTTTGCGGCAGGCATCGTGAAAGATCGCGGATCCGTAATGCACTTGTTTCGGCGTCGCGCCGGTCGGCGATAAACTATTTTTCGCCGGTATTGACACGTGGCGTTATGCATCGCGAGAATCACTTGCCGGTGTGTGTCGTGTCCCCCCCCCCCCCTCCCTCCTTCACAACTTCACCGTTTCTAGTAACCACTTTCATTTGGTCAAACTGTCTTTCATCATTTACTGGATTTAACGAAATCTGTTGCGAGATCTTCAGCGCCTGGCGGTTAAGCTCTTCTTTAGCTTAGGTACTCGTTCCTGATACTAGATAACCGGCACTGAATATCCTGACATGTTGGCGCTACGCGTTCGTCGAGCACGTTAACTATATCGTTATTTCATACCCCACACATTTGTAATGCTCTAGACAGAACGTTCAAACTTTACCTATCAAGCCGGTTAAATCACAGCGCAGTGTCGGGCGTCTGCGTCTTGCGAGTGCAAGTACGTTTACGTCGCCGTTCGGGGTACGAAAACCGTAAAACGGCGTTAATAGTTCGATTTCTTACTGAAAGTATATGATGAGTGAAGGCTGCAGTTCACAAGAGAACCAGCCTAAAGGCACTTGGATTTCGCTAAACTTGAAAGCGTTACGCAGAACTGAGATTGATAAGATTGCGCGAATGAGTCTATCGCGTTGTTACGGATTGTTTTACTTTCTCACCTGCGCAAACACTAAACTAAAGTTGCACGAGTCATTATCCGGACTCATGTTTTGTAGTGAATGTTCTGGTGCATGCCTTGCATACGTGCGAGTAGTGACTCGCCATTTAAAGAATTTCTTACACGTCGTCCCACCTGCATCTAGCGCTTAGCCTTTCGGGGCCTATGAAACCTTCAATTGTATGCATGCGTTCAGCTGTGACTTTCGATATGCTCGTTTCTATCCCGGTCTTGACTTTAAGGTCATGGTTGCTACCTACATGAAAAAAAAGTGGTGGCCCAATTTCACTTATGCACATTGGCTGTTGTCTTAGCAGTTTTACCAGAATTTCTCTGATCATAACAGTGTAGTTTTAGTGTCTTGAGCAGCTAACAGTGCAGTGCCTGATAACCAATTCCTGGATCTGGACTGTGGTGCTCTATGGAAGGAAATATGAAAAAAAAAAAACTATTGTGGCATTTCTTACAGCCTGCATTTTGTATGATGACCTTTTCAGTTCTACACTTGCAAACAATAATGCCATAACAGTGCAACAGTAGTGCCTTGAGTACTTATCAGTGTAATGTCTCATAATAAGCGTGCATACTGATACTTCTCGTACAATGTCACATTCACAGTTTCTAATTGTGCTCAAACGTGACGACCACAGGGACATAATTGAGCCATATTATAAATATTTTACCTTTAGACTGTGGTTGTTTCTCACCACACTATCAGATTCGCAGACTTTGCTTTGTTCAGTTTAGTGATAGAAAAGCTTTACACATGCTTATGTTTGTGAGCAATATTTTGTGCAAGTGGAATCATTTGGCTTATTTGGCATTCGTAATATCGGCATCTCTCTGGCGATCCTTGGTAATGAGAATTTCCAGCGGTTCAACAACTACTTTGTTAACTACTAGAAGTGATGCTTTGTAGCCATGACTTCTCGTGCTTAGACAGAGCGACGTTTCATAGAAGTTATCATCGAGATCAGCTTTTCGAGAGAAATAATAGATAAAACTAGAATAGGATTGAGCAGTAGTAATTACTACAAAACAGCAGGCTATGCTACTGCAACATGCAGCGCTGTCTTTGTTAATTATTAAAAAAGGGGAAATGTTGAATCCCGGCAAATTCGATTAGATATCCAGGGCAATAACAGTAGCACTCGATTACGGCATAAAAGGTTTCCGTATTATTTTTCTCAGTGTCATTGCAGCCGCTCAGTGAAGCTGCAATGAGCATTAACCAGTACAGCTTGCGACTGGTTCCTGTGCATACTGTGCCCCTTTTCCTGTTGCAGCATTACTTAGGCTTCTCCTGGCAGCTGTGCTGGGGGCCCAGCTATGCAGTGCCCTGTCGCTCTCTACATATTTTGGTCCCGAAGACAAAGCCCGCCTCAAGAGCCTCTTCACGTCGCCCAAGGCCCTGGCAGACTTGCCATCGGCGCACTATGCAGCGTATGGATTGAGCCTTCTGGGTGAAAAGATTACAAACCCTCAGGCAAGTTAACCTTGGGAATGCGCTGTGTTACATAATGCGGCGGCGTGATATTTGTCTGCTAGAAGCTGAACCAGGGAGAAAAATTAGCGAAGGTGTATTGCCTTTTTGGAATTTTTGTAAGGGATTTGCATCGTATGTGTAGACACCGGATGCCCATGTTGTCTGCTTGGGTGACATTTTAACAGTTGACAAGAAAATCGGACAGCTTCCAACCTCGTAACTTCATCCTGATGCTTTATTGTTATGTACTGCTCACGTGAAAGCCTCTTGTACATGGACTCCTGGAAGGCACGTTGCCTGTCTTTTATTTTCTTTGCTGTACGTGCTAATTTGCATATTATGATGCAGTTTAAACCAGGCAAGCAATGAAAGCTTGTTTGCCATTTCGTACAGCTGTACAAATGAGGAACCCTCCTTTTTCATTTTTAATGCTTTTTCAGAACAGATTGGACTAATATAATTGCTCATGCTAACTTTTATTCGGTGCTATAGGAAGCATCACTATCGCAGTTATAAAAGCTGGACTTTGGTACAAGTGTATGAAAAGAACTGAACTTCTGGCTGTTCATTATTTGACTGAGCCTTATCAATCCAAAGACATAGCCTCAATTGAATTATGGCTCTTGTTCTCGCTGGTCACATCGCTGTAAATGTTTATTTATTTACAATATTGCTAGCCCTTGCCGGCTGTAGCAGGGGTGGGAGGTGAACAGGTGAACAATACACAAACAATGTTAGGCAAAAAACAAGTCCAGCCGTCGTTGAAAATCCTGTGAGGATCTACATCCTGTAAGTACCTCGGGAGGAAGCGCATTCCAGTCAACAATAGATCGCACCAGAAACGAAAACTTAAATACATCCACCCGCGGTACATAAGCTTGGACAGAAAATGAGTGATTGGTACGAGCTGACACTCGTCCTGGGGGGGCGCAGGTATGCACTGGGATCCAGCTTGTAGTTCTTATGATACAGGTCATAAATAAATTTTAAGCGAGCTATTTTTCTACGTGTAGCTAACGATTAAAGGTCAGCCCTAGCAAGCAAAAGTGATACAGACTGTGTTCTCATGTAATTTGAATAAATAAACCTCGCGGCCAATCTTTGTACTCGTTCAAGTTTGTTGATTTCAGTTTTAGTATGCGGATCCCAGATGATAGCTGCGTACTCCAGCGTTGGTCTAACAATAGTCTTATACGCCAACAATTTAACAGAGGGCGTTGCATTACGGAGTTTCCTTCTCAGAAAACCCAGCTTTCGCTTCGCCAGTCCTGTAATGTTGTCAATATGATTGTCCCACTTTAAACTGCTGGATATAGTAACACCTAAGTATTTAAACTCATTAGAACTCTTAATTTCTCTATTGTTTATTGTGTATTTATAGTTAAAGGGGGTTTTTTTATTTGAAATTGTCATACAAACAGTTTTATCAAAATTAATTTTCATGTCCCATTTTTCACACCAGTTGTCAATACATCGAAGAGCATCCTGTAAATGTTTTTAATTTTACAGGAAGCAAATGGCGCTGCTCCATCTTTTTGTCTTTTGTGTTGCAGGATTACTGCAAAGTCTTGAAAACTGTTGATCAAAAGAACCTTGAGGCCCTCTACCATGCGGCATCTGGCAGCAAAGTTCTTGGCAACTGCCCTGTAAGTTTTCTCGCTGATGAAAGTTTTGTAGGTATTTCATTTGATGGTCAAATACAATAAATTATGTGAATAGTGGATTGGATCAATTCAAAGTACTACTAAGCAGTGCAGTGTTGAGCTAAGCCACTGGACTGAGGACAGACCAGCTCATACTGGCAAATGTATTTTATTGTTCGATATGGGAAATCATATAAAATCACAAGGGAGAAGAAATTTTGTGACTAGCTAGCATTTTCAATTGATTGTTTTCGAATGCCTTATCACAACAGTTCCTGCTATAGTGCTCGTGTTGACCCATTGTGACAACTCAAGGTGTTCCTTAGCTACGCTAGAGGACATGGATTCGGTACTGGCCATGGTGTGAACATTTCTTTAAGAATGAAATGCAAGAACCTCGATTTAGGTGCACGCGACAGAACACCAGATGGACCAAAATTAATTCGAAGTCCTACCAATAAGGTGTGCCTTATAAATGTAATGCAATTTTGGCGAGTAAAGCCCTGTGTAATTACATTAGTGTCCTGTTTGCTTCCTTTGTCGTATAAACCAGCTTCCTTGGCAGCACAGCTCAGCTTAATTTTTTGCATGGCGCTTGCTCGAATGATGTTGGCATTTTCATACTATAGCTTGCAGTATCTGACACGTGGAAGTACTCATCGGTGCATCTAATGCAACCTCTTCCTGGAGAAGGGCCGTGATTGCACATTAAATAGTTAACATGAATGACTGCAAATAGGGGGCATAAGGGGCTGTCGTTCCTTTTTTTCTTAATTTATTTTTGTAATGAATATTTAATAGCAATGCATTGTCACTCTTCATGGTGGCTTTCCTTTCATATTTCCACTCTCAATCGGAATCATGGTGTTGTACAGTACAAAGAACTATATTTAAACATCTAGAGAAGAGCCACCTCTTAAGGCGACACTGCGAGCGGCTCCCACGTGGGGACAGTTTGTATTTATTTATCGGATATTTGTGCCATTACAAATCGGTTTTATGTACATACTTGTAAAGTTTGATAATTTATGTCTTCTACATTTTTTTTGTGTGTAATGAACTCTTGTACCAATTTCTTTTGTAGGTTTTTATATTCTTGCGTGAATATTTTATAACTTGTATCTAATAAATACGTTCAGAGGTTTCTGGTATGGTCCTCTTGGGATTCTCTGATGCATTTCCTTCACACTGTAATTATACTGTTCTAATTAAATAAACATTTGATTGACTTATTGATTGATTGATTGAAATATGTTGAATCATGCCATTTGTTTCTCATGATGCCAGTTAAAGTACGTTTTTCTCGTTCACTGTTACAGCTGGACATTCCAGAGGGCAAGGCAACGCTGCAGGCTGCATTGAAGGAGGACTCCTCCGTAGTGCAGCTTTATCACGCAGTTTTGGCACTGAAAGCTCTCGGTGTATCAGGTCAGTCCTAGATCCATCCGAAGTTGCATAGTCATAGTACAGTGTCACTTGCATGCTACGAGGTTGAGCACGGAATTGCATATTTCTCATGTGACACCAGCAGTGCTGTTACGCTGTAAGGACAGGTGCAATACTTCCAAAAGCATGAAATAATGAGTTGCTTTTTCATCTAGCAATCTCATCATCAACCAACAAAAAAAAAAAAGTAATATACTTAAAAACTTGGCGATAGTGGCACTTCAAGTGTCATAGTCTGAATAGGATGTGTCCAGTCTATCTGATATTTGTGCTCATGTCACAGTACATTTGAGAAAGATCTCTGGTGTTCGCACACAATTGAAAATATGTAGGCTCGTGCAAATGATAAATTTTAGGCTAGAAGCAAATTCGTAGCAAATAGTCGTTTTGGTTGAATCACTTTTAATTAAATTCTAATAGTATATATCACGCATTATAAAGAAAAATAGGCATATTTGTCATGGTCCAACTAACCTACGCAATATCTTTTTTTATATTGAAGGCAGGCTTGTGAAAATGACATTTAAAAAGGAGCAAAATTACAATTCAGGTAGAATGTAAGTGATAATCTCCAAAATACATTGTTTTCTAAAATTCATTATAATTATAACATATAAGCCAGTATAACAAGCATTTAAGCCTTAAAAAGAGATTAATTAATGGGGGAGGGTAATGTATTCCTTTTAACTTTGCAATTGAGCTTTGCGGCAGTGCAGATTTTTTTTTTTTTTTTTTTGAAAACGTGTATTTGTAGGATAGCACCCCTGTACTGCAGTGAAACCATCTTTACAGGGGAATTAAATGTGGATTCAATGCGTAGTGATTCACTCATTAAGAATACTTCGGTATTTCCAGTAATATAAATTTGAATATAGGTGAACTTGAATATGTTACTACTTATTCAAATATTCAAAGGGTTCGAATATTTATTCTAGTTGAATAATATACAGCACTGTTTATCTGGTGCATACTGTTTCATTTAAGACCCTTCACTGTGCGGTTAGTGGCGACATTGGGGATTTTTGTACGCAGTGGCTCAATCGTGACTCAATAAAAGGGATAATACAGTTTTCCTTCAAATAATATTTCCTTCAAAAAGCAGGACAATGTGGAGTCGGTGATATCCTAGTTAGACACAGCGAATGCAAGTGGCACTTTTGGGAAAGCATTTGTGATAAAATGAAAGCTGGTGCTGGTCTCGGTACAAATTTCTTAAATAAAAAAATCTCCTTTCCGCAGAGCACGAGCTGGTAGGAAACTGGCAATTTCTGCGAAACTTGTATATATTTTTAGGAGCACTTACTAAAAGAAAAAGACAAAGTAAAATTTATTTGTGTTGTCAAGCTTTATTACTAATTGCAAGTACCGTTTCAACTAAGCAGGTTAGCTGATGTGCACTTGCAGAAAAATTACAAATTGTAATTTAGCTTTCTAGATTCTTTGCTAAGTATAAGTTCACAAACTTGCTCAGTCATTGAAATGCTCAAGTCTAATGGAAGGCATTTGAGACTGCATATGAAAGGCACCGTGGCAAATTCTGCTCACGTGTACAGTAATGTACGAGACACCTTACTGACTACCTGTTCATGCTGATATATCTTTCCGTTCTTTAAAGTGGACTCTTCGAAGGTCAGCCAGCTTCTGCTTTCCGCCCTCAAGAAAGACGACAACATGGTCAAGTAAGTGATGCTCCTGGCTCGCCTTATGCAGTAACGTGTGTGCCGTTCGGTGCCTTTAAAGTACCGATCATATGGACATGTTTTCGTTGTAACTAAGACACTCGACCATCAATTGACAGACTCCTAGTGATCTCTCGGTTAAACAGATAGAAGAGCTTGTTCATTGTTCACAAAGGCCAGCAACAGCTGGTTTAGACACATTTTTTTATACAAGATGTGCTTATACGTCCTTGTGATGCCGAAAATGGCACCATTATGGGCATTTAGTTTTTTATTTTTATCTGTTCACTTTTTTGAGATCTGAAATTGTTCGAGTGTTACTTGTCAAAATAGCAAAAGACCATTGGAACTGCTTTGTCATCATATGTAGTGTAGGTGCTTGCAACACTAGCCGACCAGGCTTTTCTGGAAGTGATTCTGGTTTGATCTTGTCTTAAGACAGATAATTTATAAAAGACCTGAAACGAGGCAGAATAGGAACCTGTCAACTGAGGTACGGAGAGTGGGCAGTATGGAAAACAGAGCGCAGGGCTTAAGAGAACTGGAGATTACAATCATTCTTCACAATCAAACCCAACAATGCATACCAAACCACTGCGTTTTAGTACAACAAGATGCACTGCATATGCTCGTGTAAGGGTTGCACTTTTTTTTCCACAATTTCGAAGGGGTGCCGCTTTTCCATGGAAGCGCAAAATTTTTGTTCAATTTTCGATTCAGGTAAAAAGAAAGGTGCTTAAACATGGTTAAACATTCTCTTCTTCGACATCACAAGCGGTTGTGCTATTTGGCAGTCATCAAAAAGAACGGTGGCACTACGGATTGGTGGTGCTGGCAAGAAAAGCGACAAGATCTCCCAGGTAGTGTCGCACGCCCAAAGCCCACAAATAGCACCGCATGACAAAGCCGCAGGACAGCTATTGCCATTTCGTGGCTCCCATGATGTGCACAGTACGCGAGACTCGACGAGCCCACGTCGCTGCCATATACTGGCGAGATTTTTTTTTTCTTTTTTTAATATGAACTGCCAAGTTGGGGGGTGAGCTGCCATTACACGAGTGTGGCCCTTTATTGAGTGTATATGGTATTCTCCTCTTTCAAATGCTTGGCATTTCCTTATTGCATTTACATTCTACGTATGCAGCCTGGGCTATGCATTCCACGTGGCTTCAGTCTTGGGTGGAAACCTCACCCCATTCACGGACCGCATCGAGGATGCCATTGTGCAAGCTGACGAAGTGGGCAGCGACCTCCTTCAGGTTAGCACGCCTACTCACGAGGATGTCAGTGCCCACAAGCATGCTTGTAGCAATTGGATACATTAATAGCTTCAGGCAGCTACGGGCTTCGGCTGAAGAGCACGCCGTCGCTTTAAATAAACTCAAGACCATTCTTACTTCCTCCTGCTCTTCGAAACACATGCATAACAGACTTTTTTTAAGGAAAGATGTGTGTTTTCGCTCAAGTTTTTTAAACCTGTGTTTCATTTACTATGAACTTCGGGATACAGCGAATCCCGCATCACGCTCGGGTTCTTTGTAAGCGGGCTCGACTGTAGACGTTATTGTAATGTAATTGCGAAGAAACAAAAGTGCACGAAAAGACAACTTTCTACCGGCTGCATTCGAACCTGCGTCCTTCGAATACTAACGCTTCCGATGCTCTAACACTGAGCTATGGTGGTGGTCATGCATCCAGTCCACTTTATAAAGTATATGTGGACGGAGGGACGACCGCCACCATAGCTGAGTGGTAGAGCATCAGAAGCTTTATTCAGAGGATGCACGTTTGAATCCAACTGGTGGCAAGTTGTCTTTACGTCCATTTTCATTTTTTCACATTTACATTACAAGTACTTCTACTAACAGCCCCTATACCTTTCCTGGCATTATTGTCTGTTAGTTCTCATTAATATTGTGTATCCTATAGAGGGATTTTACTAATATTTTCATTGATTACGGTGAAGAAAATAAAATGTGTTGAACATTATGTGGATGACATGTATTACTGGATAAATGCTCTCTTTCCTCGCTTCTCCACTACCCTCATTATACAATTTAAGACAATTGACAGGCTTGAACATCGGAATGCAACTGATCGGTGGCCACCACTTGCAATGACTCTAGTAGTTGTAACAACCCTCACTGTTGCCTTCAAGGCAAAGTGTCTGAGAGGTTGATTTGTTATCTTACTCTGAAAGGAGGGGGAAATCATTGAGACTATATGCTGCAAAGCTCAGGGACTGGAAGTGGGCTGCTGTCAAAAATGTTGACCAATCAAGCACTGTGCCAAGTGTACCATTCTTGTCCAATGGACAAGTATGCCTTAAGTTTGTCCGCCCAGCATGCATGCAGTGGTTCGTTGTATGCCATAATGGGGACACGCTGCAGTGTAATGCATTCGAGGTCGTGAAGAAGCTGTGCAGTGCAATGCATGGTTTATCTGCTGTCATTTACATATTTGTGGTTACTGTACACGCAAGGCAACAGACTAAGAGAAAATGATTGGCAAAGTTGAAATTACGTATGGCTGGATTACCTAGAGGTAGGATTTATGTGCAAGAGCAAGCAATAAGTTCTGTGTGTGTATAAATTTCATAGCGATAGGTGTTTATTTTAGTGATAAATTTTCTACGGGGTGCATGAAACAAAATTAACTGCCCATGTTTCGTGCAGGGGCCCATTGTGCTGCTTTCACTTGATGAACTTGCTCATTTTTGTTTTGAGGCTTGACTTTTGCGCTCTTTTTGTGTGCGCAGTTCGAGGGAGGCCTCAGTGTCACTGCTACAATCCTGAGCGGTGTTTATCGTCTTGCCGAAGCTGCCAAGAAGGCTCCGACCGTCACCAAGGTGGGTATTTCTAGTGTTTTTTGATATGATAGTATTGAAGTGATTGATTTGCTGTGCTTCCTAATGCCTTCAGCTGAGGCTGAGCAATCCAGACTGCTTTTGTTGCGGTATCATACTGTCATGGCCAGCTGTGTCTATTTAAATACTGTGCTGTCTGACCAAGCAGTGTTTGGAGACTTCAATGCTGTGTTGCAGGCTTTTGTGGCAGAAGCTAGGTAGCATGTGCACAAATCTGGCAACCAGAGGAGATTTGCAAGTTGCATCCTGGGTTAAGACACTAAGTGAGGGAGGGGGAGTTGGTGCATAACTTAACAAGGCTGACACGTTGAATGTCTGGTGCTGTTTTGATTCTAAATTTATTATTATTGTTTAATTTTACTCTGTTAAGTGTGTTAGGTACGATAGAAGTACCTAAAGGTACAAATGTTGAAAGGTTTTTCACCACTACTACGTAAATTTCAAAAACGAAGGAAAGTCAGCATTTTAAATAAAGACTAAGGTTTTTGTACAGCAGGGTATTGATGCGTTGCATCTGTTTTCACGGTCAGTCACATTTAGCAACTCTTTTTCGGTAACGCAATGATCAGTGCAGTGCATGTCTAGCTGTAATATATGTGAGCATCTGCTGTCACAGCATTTTAACAGACTGAGTATCAACTTAGCGAAAAGTTTGCTTTCCCAGTTTCTCCTCCCCTTTTTTTCTGATTTACCACTAACGTCCAAATATGCACATTCATTCACACTTCTGAAAGTTATCACTTGAGATCATATCTCTAGATCACACCACAGTTATGCAGACGCATTTCTTGAAGAGAACTACCGTTTCATCTTTGAATCATTGCTAAGGTAGTGTTTGCATGGTAGCACGGTTGCCTTATGGTATGTTGTGAATCCCCTGGTGTTGCAGCCCAGCTGTTAATTAATTTTTTTCCCATATCCAGGAGCAAGTGCTGAAGTTTGCGAACTACCTGCTGTCCCGCAAGAACGTCCAGCCGGTCAAGGGAGCGGCCCTTCTGTACGACGTGCTCAAGCTCCTCGCAACAAACTCGGTAACTGATGATCTCATTAAGAAAACATAAAAGTTCAATGCATCCTCTTGTCTTGCCCTTTTACAGCGAACCTGTGCATAACTTGGATCTCGGGATGTTTTCGAACGTGTTTACAGAAAATTCGACTCAAATAATCCAAGTGATAAATGCCCCTCTCCATTGAAGCTACGCATGCATTAATAAATGATTTTGCGTATTCTTTTATATGCATGGCTGCTTACCAAGTAAGATATGCATATTCCAATTTAAAGTAGCTATCTTCGGCCTAGTTGTGTCCATGTGGTGTCCACAGAAATGAGCCATTACATTCGAGGTTTCATCCTAAAAGAAGAGGAGCTACTCTTGAATAGTTTTTCTAGTGAGTGTGCCTATCTCACCTGATGCTGCAGAAAGTCTTAAAGACCATGACTTAATAGCGTGGGTGCACTGAATGGGAACTTGCGTTAAATCGAATTTGAGGGCTAATGTGATCATGGAATTGTGAGTTAACGTACACCTTCCAAGATTCACAAGGCCATGCTCGGATCTCTGGAGGCTGTGTTCACCACATTGAAACACCTTCTGTGCCTCTCGTTAGTGCGGAGAGTTGTGAAAGTTCGATCAAGTCACAACGACATTGCGGAAGACTAACAGAGAGAGGGCATGCAGCTCGTCAAGCTTCGGCCAATCAACAGCAGTTGAAGTGGACAGTCTGCCAAATGGACTGTTTGAGAATACCACTGCAGGTACCCAAAATGTGTGCGTTCATCATTATTACATAGCAACTGTGCCGCATGAAAGAAGGTCTGTTGTCCCGTGTAAGCCTACAAATCGTACAAGACTAGGTATTATGGGACACCGCTCGTTTGTGATAGCTGTTAATTTCAAATACTATGCAAGTGGTTGCCTGCATGTGCTTCTTGCATATTTCAGTACCACGTTCCCGTGGCAACCAGCCTGTCTGGCTCTGGCGCCCTGAGCAAGGCCTCGCCCACCGTTGTTGTGCAAGTGACGGACGTCCTGGGCTCGCCTCTGGGTCCCCTCTCTGTGCTGCTAAACAAGGCCGTCGTCTGCTTGACAGCCAAGTTGTGATGGAGAGGAAACCGTTCGCTCCGGCCAAGGAGGACCCGTAAGTAGTGCATTGTCACTATAGTGGAACTTCGATTATACGTCCCCCAGTTTCAGCAATGATCTGCATTTTATGACGAACTGGTTTGGTCCCGCGAAATTCCCATAGAAACAATGTATATAAAAACCTTAGTTATAAGATGCAGTTTTACACCGACCGCACATCTTACGAAGACTTTCAGATTTCGTCGGAAAGAAAAAACTACCTTTACTCGAATCGCATGTTGACCAAATATCCACGAGGGCAAAATATGAGCTTGCGTACCCCAATGAGGACTACAGGATAAGTAGTCATCTTCATCGAATGGAAAATTTATTCTCCCGGAAGTTCATGCACTTTTACATACGCCTCAGTTGTGTGCATACGTATCCAGGGTCGTTACCTAGTCAAGCTCTGTCCACGTAGAGTAGGTTCAGCTGATCAAAAAGCTAATATTTTCACATTTTCGGTTCGTGGAAACATTTCCTGGTTGACATATAACTGATTCTCTGCTTCTGTCACACTTGCAGTCACTCGTTTGCGCACCCGTAAGGGCAATAAGGGCACGCGATGCAAAATTACTTTCACTTGACGTCAACGTTCACAACAACAGCGGGAAACCACCAGTTGCGCTTCACAAGGCAACAAATTACAACATGCACAGCTCAGTTGCACATGATTGCATCGTGCATAAACTCGTTATCCGTCGCCACTACGCGATAGCGATGGCATTGCGTCCGACTCGTCTGATGGGAGGCTCACGGGAACACTGTTTCGGTTTCATTTTCACGCGCAGGCAATTTTCAGGCTCTATTTATCGGTAGAAAGATGTGTGTTAGATTTGATTGTTTTTAAAGGGCCACTCACCAGGTTCTGACAATTTTGAGCTGACAAGCGCAATGCGTAGATGAGGCATTCATGATCACGTCTGCCAAAATTTGCAACGCTACGCGCCGCGAAAGTGGGTCAAATTTCAAGATGAACGCTGCTCTCCCTCCCCTCTGCCGGCGCACGCCTAGAGAATGAGGGCATGACGGGGGGGGGGGGGGGGCGTATGAATGGCCCTACATATACGGCAATGCATTACGTTGGTCCTCTACGTAGACGACTCTGCTCTGACGTTGTCAACTATATACCACGTGACATGGCAAAAATTATTTAACACAACATGCATAGTTTATGTATTTGTTGCTTTAAGAAATTAATAAAACTTGAAATAAATAATGAGACGCAATAAAAAATTGTGCGCGTTTTTCCCGTGAAATGCTACGAGATGCGGGGCTAATGTGCCAGCGTTTCGCATGCGTTTGGGTCCCCGCGGTCAGCGCATTCAGCAGACGACCGCCGTGGAACGCTCCTACGCGTTCGTGCACTCATTGTGCTCATCTACTCTACCGCGTCTAAGCCAGCGTTTCCAAATCATCCCGCAGAAACGGGCAGAAGACCACAAAATAACGCTGGTCAACAAAGCAACGCTTCTCGTGTGCTCTGGGGTTGGACTTGTTTGGGGCAGGTCATGCGCACGTCACCTCATGGTCGGATGCCGGAGAGGGTGGGGAAGAGATTTGGCTTGCGAAGGCTATGCAAAGGAGTGGCAAGGGTTTCGAGCTCGTCTCCTCTCATCCTCGTTTCGCGCCGCTTCAAGAATCTTGTTTTCTCCGCACGTGATGATCTGATTCGAAAAATTTTGTGGCAAAATGTTCCTCATTGGACACCCAACAACTCCCACTGCCTCATTGGACACCCAACAACTCCCACTGTTCAACTGAAATTCGGTATGGGGTCTGGTGAGTGGCCCTTTAAGGCTGAGAAGAAAGATTTGCTCGCACTTCTTTCAACTAATTATTGCTGCCGTTAGCTACCACTGGCAACAATAATTTAATCTACTCTCATTGCAGGGGCAGAAGGTCGTGCCGTTAACTTATTCAGGCAGTCTGTACCTGTTTTTCGGGCAAGGCTGAGTGTTGCGGTCTGTAATTTTAGCTTTTAGATTACACGACGCCCGGGTTATACGACTCTTTTGTGGGGTCCCCTAAGAGTTGTATAATCAGGGTTCCGCTTTACGATCAGTTGTGGCCAGATGGTGCTTTGGCCTTATGAGAAAAAGGGTCTTGACACCATCTGGCAAGCCTGTAGCCAAGGGGTTGCCTTAGCCCCCCCCCTCGCCTCCGGGGGTATTTTTCGGAAAAGAAATAATGAAAAATAGGTGTTTTCCTTAAATATAGGCAAAGCCTTCAGCAATTCTCCCCCCCCCCCCCCCCGAAAGAATTGCTGGCTACGAGCCTGCCATTCAATAGCTGAGATTTTAAAGATTGTACAGTGAAACCCCCTTGTAAAGTCAAACTCCTTTATAGGAGACGCTGATGAAGGGAACAACTGGATATGAGAGGCCCCAGTGGGCCTAGATAGAAATAGAGGTTTACGAGAAGACGTAAACAGGGTACCCTGCTTATGATAGCCATAAGTATTATAAAAGACAAGAATTCTTCTTCAGTGCTTGTCTCTTATAAAGGGGTTCAACTGTATTGAACTCACCAATAAATCAACTCGCCAAATTGATTAGATGTGTCATAACTCTATATAAAACTTTCAAAGAATTTCCCGTATTTTTGATGCATATTGCTGTGCACAAGTTTGATTCACGGAACTATTTTACAATGATGTGGGGAAAGCATACGTGGAGATAATTTTAGGGGCGAAGCTCCTTAGGGCGTGGGCTGTGCGTCCCCTGTAGCCTGTATGTAGCCACCTCTAGTTTAGTTCTTGCAGTGTTCACTAGATGGCGGTACCGTCCCCTGTATGTAGCCACCTCTAGTTTAGTTCTTGCAGTGTTCACTAGATGGCGGTACCGTCTCCTGTATGTAGCCACCTCTCGTTTAGTTCTTGTAGTGTTTACTAGATGGTGGTACTTGTAGCTGATGATGAAAAGATGCAAGATGTTATAAACTAGAAAGCGGTACTTGTAGTTGATGAAAGACGCGAGATCTTATAAATAGGAATGATGTCACATATGGCACGTGTCATTGGTTGAAGGCAATCGTTCGATTTAGTGTGGCGACGTACGCTAGGGGGAGCGTTGTAATAAAATCCGTCCGCTGTTGGCGCGCGCTCGGAGTCGCCGGATGGATAAGGCTGCACAGCGGAGAGAGCGCAAGGCGGCAGCAGCGCGCGCTCGCAGACAGAATCCCGATGTGCGAGCGCGCGAGGCAAGGGACATCGCAAGCCATCCATCGTCTAAGAACAAATAAAAGTTGATTTGTGTATATACACACACAGCGTTTCTCGCGTCTTTACATGATGATCGACTGGGCGAATTACACGGAAGATTCACAGTTTACCGATGAATCCCTCCGAAGCTTCGCCCATTCATCATCATTCACCCCGTGAATATGCCGTAATTTTTTTAATTAACTTTTGTGTTGCTTGTAGTTGACGGAGAATTTTATATGCAGGGGTGGGCTGTAGTTGAGAAAATGTAGTGTCGATACGGCTGTCCTGATCGCACACTGCTCACTCTTTCAAAGGCACGGAGCAAGTGCCGCTTAGTGAGGGAAAGCCAACTTCTCGGGGCATTTCGTACAGATACATCTTGTACCGGCTTTTTTTTGTTTGATGTAACCTTAAAATTTCTTATGCACTGATGTCAAAGCATTTTTGTGTTAAAAAATAGTTGTTTGAAAAGGATAGTTCAATTAAGCCGAATTCAACGTAGTTGGACTTGACTTTTTAAGCCAATGAACTGACAAGCGGAACTTTTATGCTTTGTTTGGTGCAAATGTGTACATAGGCTGCTGAATCATTTCTTCCTTTTTGTACAGTGTTAAACAGAATTTGAGGAGAGAGACAGAAGATGTCTATCAGCAGTATTTTCCATGCCAGTCCAGCTGAACAAGCCTCAACTAGACTGAACTGTTGCTCAACATACCAATTTGTGTAAACATTTAGTGTAAACCCTTCAGTCCAATCTCCAGTGCCCAGCTCTGGATTATGAGCCTATTCCTGCCATAGTGAATGTACTGGCAGTTTTTCAACGAGTTGTAAAATGTGTGTTGTTGTTTTACCATGCGACCGACCACTGTCTTGGGATGAATAGGCTTCCTGTAGGAAACGATCACGTCTACGTTCCCACATGGAAAGCATTTTCCTCAGATTACATTATCATTAGCAGCAGAAGCAGCCTGACTACGCCCACTGCAAAGCAAAGGCCTGTTCTAAAAGCCCATGCGAAAAATACATTACGTTCATTTGTGAGATACCTGCGTATGTTTTGAGTTTATGTGACACAGTACCTGCAAGAAAGCACTGTTCATCTTTTTTCCAGGTCTCTCTATGTGTTCAACTTTGTGTCGAACAAGCCACGTCGGGGCTTCTACCAGCTATCTATTAACGCTGTTCCTGTCAAGGCTGACAGTCGTCTTGTTGGAAACACTGATGCTGAGGTGAGCGGCGTTTGTTTGCTTTGAAGTGTTGACCACTGTTAAAGGGAACTCTCGTTCGTAGTTTGCTAGTCGATTATTAATTTATGTCACAAATGTCTACAGTGTTGTATTTTAACCTTGTGCTCCCGTAAAAAAAAAGTTAATTGTATCAAACTTACTAGAACATTTCTCACTCAAATTTTAAAGCTTTTTTCTTAATATTATAAAAGAATATGATTATTTTTATTTAATGAGGTTTCTTTATTTCACTAATTGAATACAAAAGGTGGCTCCAAGATGGCTTCACTGCATGGAAATGCAACGAAAGATTGCAATTAAACGAGAGCTTAGACACAACTTGCAATACATGTAGAAGTGTGGCCATCTAGTGTCGAAAAACGCAACTTTGACGAGTGTAGTCGTTCATTGGTTCGAGGTGGGACCAATTTTTCTTGAGGACAAGTAATAGATAGTGGTCATTGGTCATTCTGCTACGAAACTTCATAACCCGTGCTCATTCAATAGACTGAAAAATACCGTATTTACATGTATGTAGTCGAACCTTTCATTTTTTTTTTTTATTTGATCGTTCAATGTTGGGGGATCGACCTAGAGTCAAGAATGAGTTCTGTTTGTGAAGTCTTTCTATAAATAATCTCCGCGTATTTTTGCAAAGCTAGCTTTCCTGCACAGTTTCCAACTACTGGCGTGAAGCCATCTTCACACATCGGTGGCTTGACGATGTGTCAAAATATTTTTTTATATGTAAAATGTGCTCGTGCTCCTCTCTTTTTTTTATGTTGTGCCATTTTCTGTGGTTGACCTACATTCGAGCCGACTTACAATCGTGTAAATATGGTAATGTACTAGTGTGCATCAAAGCAATTGCATCTGTCACTTTTTTTGCCATCTAAGATGCTTTCAGACAGACACATAAGCTTGCAAGCCAGATAGATAGGCATGCGTGGTTTAACGTGCCAAAACCACCATATGACTATGAGAGACGCCGTAGTAGAGGGCTCCGGAAATTTCGACCACCTGGGGTTCTTTAACGTGCACCCAAATCTGAGTGCACGTGCCTACAACATTTCCGCCTCCATCGGAAATGCAGCCACCGCAGCCGGGATTCGATCCTGCGACCTGCAGCCTGCAAGCCAGTTATGCATAACTGAAAGACAGCATGTTGAGTGTTTCAGTAGAGAATTCGTGAACACATGCTGGAGCTGGCGTTTCAACAAGGGGACTTCAAGCTTTGAAGAAGGCAAGTCGTTTGTCGAAACATCTGCTCCAGTGATGTTGCCCCGTGTCTCTGCCCCGTGTTGATAAATTATTCATCTCTTTAAACTTCTGTCTTTTCCCTAATTTCTGCCAGTTTTTTGTCATCCTTTTACAATTACACCCCTGAATGAGAGGCACGCCCTGGGCAGCAGTTCTTGTCTTTTATATGAGATGTCTCTTATAAGCAGTGTACCTCGTATGCACTTTCATATCAACCTGTATTTTACTTTAGGCACACTGGTGTCTCTCATCCTTATTTCTCTCAGTGTCTCTTATAAAGGGGTTCTACTGTAATATATATATATGCTCATTGCAGATTAACCTTGTTTACTTAGATATGCCACAAGGGCTAAATTCACTGATGAAGTCAGACCTGGATCTTGCAACAGTTGATGTTTCGAGGTCAACTTCTGGCTCAGCAAACTTTACCCAATAGCCATGCTATTTTCTTGCTACATTTTTGCCTTAAAGGTAACTAGATATACGGAAAGTGAAATTTGTAAATTTAAAAATTCCTATTTTATTTTCCAATATTGGTGTGTGTAACAACTACATTATCATCTGATTATAATAAAGAGGTTTTGTTTTTATCGAATACAACTTTACCACAGCTATGTTTGACTGTGGTATCAATAATGCAGAGTGTTTATTATCCTCAGAATGTCAAATACACGCTTTTTTCATAAACTGAGTGTTTTGTCCCCCACAGGCAATGACTGTATTTGGGCATTGTGGACTGCACCGACAAACTTTTTGACAATTGTGCTGCTTTAGCACTAGTGTTTCGTAAAATGCTGAACGATCTCTTGTACGTCTTCTCTCAGCTCGGCGTGAAAGTGCTGACTGATGTGGAAGTGGTTGGACTCGAGCTTGGCACTGCTGACCGGGACCAGACAGCTGCTCCTCAGATGACTCCGTGAGTAGCAATTGGATGTACTGTTTGTTTTTCAGTTCAATGCTGTGCACTTGTCCTCGCTGCACTGAAGAACATCGGCTTATAGCGCGGTTTGGTAATGAAACAGTAATGCACTGGCAGGCTGGTTAGTGTGCTTAAACTTTTGGCCATTGTTATGGGTTTTGTTTCTTACTCTGCGATCAATCTAACAGTTTCGTTCAATTTTTTAATGATGGCAGCTTTATACTCCAATGTATGTGTATGTTGCGTAGAGATCCCTTATCATTGCCTTACCTTCCTTGGGTTCTTCTGTTGCATTAAAAGACCAGTTTGCTACTCCATGTAAGTATATATGTGTAAAGGGGTGCAAAAATGAATGGAAGGCAATGTGGGAAGCTCTAGGACATTGTACTCCTACATGGCTATGCTGCTGTTGTTGAGTAGTCTTCTTGTTCAGGACAGTGCAAGCCAGAATGAATTTTTTTAGCTACCGGCATAGTTTGGCACCTTGTCATGTCGGCCATGTGTGCCATGAACAGATAAAGAGCACTTTCCGATGCACTTCTCGACTACTGTGGAGAATCCTGTGCTAGACAACCCGCAAAAATGCCATGCGATGCTTTCTGAAACATTGCGTACAGCAGTAGGATGTGCGGCTAATCTAGGGCCAATAAGTACACTGGTTTGATTATCAAGCATCCGCATCTTCAGCAGTACACAGAGGGTCAACAAGAAAAGCATTGACTACCATTCGCCCCCCATTCTTTTCTGACATTGTGATCGGAGAGCGTGAAGACCATTTCGTTATACGTGTACACGCAGGGTGGCTTTCCGTAGCAAGATGGGCCAGGTCGTGGAGGCGGACCACCACCAGAAGCTGGTGATGAAGTTTTCGCTCAAGGATGTCTCCAACGGGGACATCATGTCGGCGCACCAGGTCTTCGTGCACCTCTACCATGTAGAGACCAAGCGCGAGATTGTCTTCCTGGCCGAGCCAGACACGAGCGTTGTCTACCGCTTTGACGGAGGTGGTAGCAGAGGTTTCATCGTTAAATTCCACATACTGTGTACGATCAGTAAGATAATTTTTGATCCAGTTAAGAACAGTAGAATTTCCTAAGGTGGCCTCAAGTTTTTGAAGTAGTTTCTTGTGCGATACCTTGTCGAATGCTTTGGCAAAATCGAGGAAGATTAGATCAGTTTGTTTTTGGTTGTCAATACTCTGGGATACCTCATGTGTTAATTCCACTAATTGAGTTATGGTTGAAAGACCTCGGCGGAAGCCATGCTGATAGGGAGATAATATACGTTTTTCTTCTAGGAAAACAGTTATTTGTTTAAGAATTATGTGCTCCAAGATTTTACAGATTGTACATGTCAGGGATATAGGTCTAAAGTTAGATACATCATTTCCGCATCCTCCTTTATGCACAGGAACAACTTTGGCCTTTTTCCACTCCACAGGTAAAGAGCACGTTGACAGTGATTTGTTAAACATGACGCACAGATATTTAGCTAGCACCTCTGCATATCTTACAAGAAAGATGTTAGGAATGTTGTCAGGCCCTGCTCCTTTTTTGTGTCCAAGTTTAACAAGAGATTTATGACACCGGCCTCATTGACAATAATCGGTTCCAGGGTACCTTCCGCACTAGTGTCGATGTCTGGAATGTTTCCGTCATCGACAGTGAATACAGACTTGAAATAGTTGTTCATTTTGTCTGCAGTGATCGGGTTATCTTTTTCCGGGGGTGTGTTGCTTTTGTTGTTTTTTGCAGGCTTTAGGTAGCTCCAAAACTTGCTGGGTGAATTTTTTAGAAAGTTTGGCAACGTTTTAGTGAAATAGTTGCTCTTCGCTGTTTTGATTTTTGTTTTTAAGTCACTCACAGCAGCAGTCAAATTATCTACTGTTACTGCTCCGGGTTTTCGTTTCATTCTCTTTCGTATTCGCTTTACTTTGCGTTTCGCATGTATTACCTCACATGTTATCCACGGGTTGTGTTTCTTAATTTTTTTCACTCTAAGAGGTACAAAGGTATTAATACAGCGGTGCATAATTTTTTTTAACTGAGACCATAATATTTCAATGGTCGTGGAACTATCATTCGACAATTCTTCGAAGGACGGAAACTTTATAATTAGATAATTTAGTATGCTGGTGTCGTCGGCATATTTAAAATCCGGGTAAGTAATTTTTATGTTCGTTGGTTCTATTTTATCACGAAAGGGGACAGTGCACAAAGTGAGCTTGTGATCAGATATGCCATCCATAACTTCAATCTTTGTTTCATCGGCTGGGAAGTGGTTACTCAAGAATATAAGGTCAAGAATATTTGAAGTTTCTCCCTGGACACGTGTTGGTTGGTTGACTACTTGGTGAAGATTAAATCGCAGCATTGTGTCGATAAGGACATCTGAGCATGCGGAATGAAATTTCATGGATTGCCAGTCGATATCAGGAAGGTTAAAATCACCCAACAAGATGAATCTTGCGCTTTGTATGTTTTGTTCAATGTAGTTGTAGAGCGATTGCATGCTATCTTCGCCAGAAGTAGGACTGCGATAGCAGCAGCCCACAATTGTTGTGTGAAGGCCAATTTTTAGTTTCAATATGAAGCTTTTCTTGCGTTATGACAATCTTTTGCAAGAGACAGAGGGATAAAAACCAAGACTATTTGACCAATTTTTAAGTGCAAGTGACAAGCAAGGATGTTTGGAAAGTCCTTTTTTAATGTGTCTTCTGTGGGGATAAGCAGGTATTTTAAACAATACTAAGATGACGCAGTGTCGTAGGATTTGCACTGATTCGAGTCACAATAACTTGTACTCCGGTGGTGTGTGGTCAGTACTGTGGTTTGTCACACCCCCAAACCACTCTGATTAGGCCTCTCTGGCTTCCATATTACGCAAACTGTGTGTCCGGGTCCGTAAGTCATACAAGCTTTGCTCACAGGCAAAATTTGTCGTTGGCTCACGTCGGCTTATTATTAGGCTAAGTGCGTTATGTGGGCTTTTGTGTGTACTCTATTCATGTTTGCGAAGTCGTTTAGCGTCTTCAGGCCTCAGCGATTGATAGCAATAGCAAAATTTTTGCCAGCAGTGGCATCATGGTCGCATTGGAGCGTCTTTCTTTTTCTCCAGGCTTCCTTGCAGCTAACCCTGCCGCCAAACCCATCGCCCCCGAAACCTACTGTCGACGTGTATGCTCCAAAGCCAGAAATCAAGGTTGGTAAAGCTTTTCGCATCTGGCTTCTCTTGTTGCGCGCTCCTGTGTCTTGTCTGGCTATCGCCACTTTTTTTCCCTGCATGAGCGCTCGCTGTGCTCGTTATGGGACATGCAGTTATGATGGTTGTGAGATGTACTTTTATTTTTATCACTATTTCGTCTTCAGGGTTTAAAAATATGGCTGACTGCAAATAGTATAAGAGTAAACTGAACAAATGCCAGACTAAAGCACGTGAGTTTAAGATTAAGTGTTGCATCTATATTCATTTCCTCTATAATCAGTTTGTGTTGTGTTAGCCTATTATTATGTCATACAACGTCATCTTCAGCAGCTGCATTCAAAGTGACATGATGTAGTTACCTTGAGCAATTTTTGCGTACCACTTGTTAAGCTTAGTCCTATGGTGTTGCATTTCATTTTGTGAGCGCTGTACCTAATAAACGATGAGAGCTAATACTGCATGCGTTTTTACAATTCTACCTGCCATGTTCGCTCGGTTGCTGTGGTGTTCAGCTGATGAGCTCAAGCTTGCGTGTCCAGTTGACAGCCCCAGTGGCTGTATCTTTACGGAGATGAAATACAAAAGCACTCGTGCGTCTCCATTTGGAGCATTTTGACGGGGCACTGAAGAAGAAAACCATTTGTCTTGTGTGTTTAAATGAATCTTTCATAGTACGAGTATCGCAGCACTTGTTTCATGTAAACGAGAAAATGCGGGGGGCAGTGCCACATTGGAGGTCATGCACCAATCGCTGTGGTGGTGTCGTTTATTTTGATGGGATCTGCTAGGGCCTGTGTCATTCCCAATCAGCGAAAATGAGGTGCATTGACCTTTGAGGGGACAAGAGACTTAAGTTTTGTTGAAGCAACGTTGAATGAATTAATTTATATTGGTGCAAGATTTAAAAGGGAGACTTTGCCTGGATTTTCTTTTCTACTTGTGGTGGTAAAATTAACAGCAGCACAATTTTGAGAGCTATGTTTGTCAGTCTGAACTAGTTCATTGTTTTTCTGTAGTGTCTCTTTAAGCGCATGCCATTCGTGGCATGGAAGACCCATATCTGTTGGGATAAAAGAAATAAAGAGGGTTGGGAATTGCTTGAAGATGAATGATGATTGTCGGGGCACCAGGTGATCTTTAGCAGTGCACCTTTTTTTAGCATGGTTAGCCTGCGTGTTTCATCGTCTTTCTTTTCTCGCGCAGCATCTGTTCAGGGAGCAGGAGAAGCGTCCGCCGGTGTTACTCTCGAACGCATTTTGCGGCCTGGTCCTGGTTCCCCTACTGCTGCTGATTGTGCTGGTAAGCCTGTCCTTTTTTTTGCGGCCTTCCTTACCATCAAGACTCTCCATTACAAGCATCTAGTAGTAGTAGTAGTGAAAGCCCATTGCCTTTCTTGTTTGCAATTTAATGATTCAAGAATGCAGTGATTCATAGCTCTGACCATTACAAACAGCAAGAAGTTAGGAGGAGGGGGTCTCACGAGACTCGCTCTCGAAACAAATGGAGTTAATGCTGTTGTACAATGAACATGAACATTAACAGCTTCTATATAACGACAAGCTTGCGAGCCAAATTGAACAAATAACTGTGCTAACATGCCAAGTATAGAATTTAATGCCCATAAAACATACAGAGAACATATTGCACACAAACAATATAACACGAACAGCATCAATTCTCACTCTGCGGCGTTTAAACTAACTTTGACACATAAGTGCCATGATGCCAGAGTGACTTTACAGGGACTATGAGCACCTCCACAAGGTAACTATTCAGCATGGGCACCGGCATTAACGAAAAAGGCCTTTTGAGAGCAAAATCATCTTTCATGTTCATGCTTCATAGTCTGCACCAAGTCGTGCTATAATTGATTTTAAAGGCACCATAGAAAAGAATCGCAAGAGAGAACAAAAGAAAGAGTGCCACTTACAGCTGGTTTATTTGCAGAAATACACATGCATATACGTATATTGTGAGGAACCGGTTTTTTCAGCCGGGCTCGAGCTAAATCACACTGGTGATATTTACAGATGACGTAGACGTACAGGTGATGATATGTAAATAAATGAAGAGTCATTCGCTTGTCGCGCTCACGCTAATTCCCCCGCGCGGTGGAAGCGGCCACCTGGTCGCCTGAGAGTATTGTGAAATGCGGTGCGTATAAGGCTTTAAACGAGATACCCGCACTATCTCTGTCCTTCGGCAACGATGATCAGGATTAGTGCTAAGAGGAGAAACGTGGTAATTGACAGGAGATGTCTGTTCGAACACCGTGTACGGCCCAATAAAGCGACTGATGAATTTTTCGCATAAGCCGGGGATGCACAGTGGAGTCCATAGAAGATCTTCGTCACCAAGGAAAAAAAGTCGCAACACGGCGAAACAAGTCGTAGTGAGACTTTCGAGTGTCTTTAAAAAGGCTGGTGTTAATGGGGGCCAGGTGACGGCAGTTTGCGAGACGAGATAAAAATACTTCAGAGAAAAGAGCTGTCGAGGGTGCAGGGACCGAAAGGAAAGAGACATCCAAAGCGAAGCTCGGCGAGCGACCATGGGCGAGAAAAAAAATGGAGAAAAACCAGTAGTTCGTTGAGCAACCATATTTTAAGCGAATCTCACGAAGTGTAAGATTGCATCCTAGTTCGTGTGGTTGGGGTGAATGTACATCGCGATCATATTTGAGATGGTCCGATGAAAGCGTTCAGTCAATCCGTTGGTCTGCGGGTGGTAACTAGAAATGGTCTTGTGAACAGTGTTAGAGGCACGCAAAACTTCGTCGACAATAGAAGAGAAAAAGACTGCCACGATCATTCAGGAGAACGCATGGGGCTCCATGGCGCAAAAAGATGTTGCAAAGGAAAAAATCGGCGTCCTTAGTGGCGGTTCCAGATTGTATAGAAGCTGTTTCTGCTTAGCTGGTAAGGTGGTCGACGGTAGTGACAATCCAACGATTTTCATTCCATGATATAGGAAGAGGGCCATACAAGGCGATTCCGATGACTTCAAAAGGCAAGGCTGGACAAGGAAGAGGATGCATTAAGCCAGCCGAAGCAGTTGTGGGTCGTTTTCGTCGTTGGCAATGGACACAGGAGGCGACGTACTTGGCAACGGCTGAAGAGAGACCAGGCCAAAAACATGGACTTCTTATTTTGTCGTAATTCTTGTGATAGCCTAGATGACCGGCTATGAAAAGCTTCCAGAACTTCACGTTGCAGAGAACATGTGATGACGGGTACCCACTTGTTGCCATCGATGTGGTAAATGTAGCGGTATAAAGCGCCCCCAACAAGCTTAAATTGTTTAAGTTGTCGACGGAGTCGAGCGTTTGGAGGAGAAGTAGAGTCAGTCATGCGGTCAACAATAGTGCGGCAGTATGGGTCGACACGTGGTGAAACAAGGACGGATTGGGTGCTGGGTGGTGAACTTAGCTCTGCGATTGGAGAGGTGGTGCCGTTTTGGAGTGATGATGGTGAGTGGCCTCCGCTGGGCGAAGGACAGCGCGATAGAGCATCAGCATCTTGATGCTTTTTTTTCAGATCTGTAGGCGACATCGAAATTTTACTCCTGCAAGTGAAGCACCCAGCGATCGTGGCGACCCGATAAGTTTTTCAACGATGAAAGCCAGCATAGGGGGTTATGGTCGGTAAAGTTGATAAAGTGACGGCCGTGAAGATATGGTCGAAATCTTTGCACTGTCCAAACAACAGCAAGGCACTCCTGCTCGGTGATAGTGTAATTATTTTCTGCAGCGGTAAGAACACGACTTGCGTAAGCAACGACGCGTTCGCATGAGTGGTTGTCGCGCTGCAAGAGTACCACACCTAGGCCATAACTACTAGCGTCGGTGTGAAGGATGGTGGGTGCGCTTGGATCCAAGTGGCACAGTTCTGGATCCAACTAAAGGGCTTGCTTCAATGCCGTAAAAGCCCTTTCTCTGTGTTCCGACCAAACGAAAGTGACGTTACTTGCGATGAGTTGATGGAGCGGAGACGCAAGTTCCGCAGTGCCGCGTATGAAGCGCCGGAAGTAAGAAGCTAACCCAAGAAATCTGCGCAGTTCCTTTTGACGTAGAGGACGAGGAAAATCGAGGATGGCGACAAGCTTCTCGAGGTTCGGCCAAATTCCTTCTTTGCTGACGAGGTTGCTGAGAACCTTGATTGTCTTGCTAGCAAAGGTACATTTCTTGGTGTTAAGCTGTAGACCGGCCGGCTTTTGCAAGGCATGTGAAGACTTCGTTAAGGTGCTGTAGATGCTGCGAGAATGTGGATGAAAATACTACTATGTTATCGAGATAGCACAAACACATTCTCCGTTTCAAACGACGCAAAGCTCCGTCTATCATGCGTTATAAAGTGGCGGGTGCATTACAGAGTCCAAAAGGCATCACATTAAACTCGTACAAACCATCTGGCGTTGAAAAGGCGGTCTTCTCTTTATCCGACTCTGACATTGATATCTGTCAGTAGCCTGACCTAAGGTCGAGGCTAGAAAAATTATCGGCGCCCTGTAATAAATCCAGTCCGTCGTCGATCCGAGGGAGAGGATAAACATCCTTGCGCGTTATTTTGTTTAACGCATGGCAATCGATGCAGAAACTAACTGTCCCACCTTTATTTTGAACGAGAACAACTGGGGATGACCAGGGACTCGAGGAAGGACGTATGATGTCGCGTCGTAGCATGTCTGAGATGTTTTCCTTGATGATCTTGCATTCTGCCTGAGACACGCGATATGGACGCCGATGTACAATATGAGAGCCATCAGTCTGGGTCCTGTGAGTAGTGGTGGTAGTCATGCTGAGAACGGGCGCATTCACGTCAAATAGAGAATGGCGTCTATTCAACAGGACGAGCAAATCTTCAGTTTGAGCAGGTGTTAAGTGAGTGCTTATCGTTGCTGACATAGGTGTGGAAGAGGCATTAAATGGCAGTGATGGTGACTTTAGGACATTGTTGGTGTTGTTGTTCTGAAGAGTAACAATCACAACAGGCTCACTGTTGACCGCACTGGATACTGTTGAGCCACAAGGGAGCAGTACAGATTCGGGAGTTTGATGTAAGGCGGCAAGGTAGGTAGACCCACTTAAAAAGCAAATAACCCCTGGTGTGATCACAATGCACCTATTATGGTATGGCCGTAAGGAAGAATAAGTACGTCACCATTCACAATGTCGGTGCACTTATAATTTCTTCGATGTATGGCCGAAGTACATAATCTGACGTGGTGACAAGGCGGATGCGTTCATCGTGTTCAAGCTCGGTGACGTTTAGATGCAGGAGGCGCTGATGACAAGATATTGAAGCGAGTGCAAAAGACAAGAAATTCCATCTCATGCACTCACGAAAAATTTCGAAAACGATGTGTCGACGAATGCCTTCTAGGCAGACATGAGCGGTACACTGTGCAAGTGGCGAATTAGAGCGTTGGTCGCCGCACGAAGAGGTGGGCCGCCATAAGGCGTGGTCACTTTTCGAAGGCTAGAACAAAAATCAGCACGAATAATCGAAACGGCAGCGCCAGTGCCTACGAGAGCCTCAATGCCTACACCACCTACTAACACTAATATCAAGTTCGATGGCCGCTGTGGAGGAATTGTTAGCTGTTCGGTAGATTCAGTTTCCCTTCCTAAAACTGCATCGGGGGGTATTCCGCGTGGGCGTTCGTGGAATGGGAGGCTGGCCGTAGAGGTGACACTGAATGGCGACTTGGTGAAGGCGACCTGCAGCGAGACGTAAGGGAATTCCCAGGCATGTTAGTATGGTAGGTAGCAGACAGTGAACAGCGATAGGACGAGCGGGAGGGTGGCCATAGGTAGTTCATGGTCTGATGGAAGCTTTGATGTTCTTCAGGAGCGTAGCCGCGTTGCTCGTCTTGTTGGTGCCTTCGACAAAACCGGTTGATATGTCCTCGATAGCCATAGTAGTAACAGATAGGCCGAGGAGGGCGCTGAGGGCCGTAGTAAGGCGGTGCACACACTGGGGTGACAACAAAGCCACAGGGGTATGGTCTCCTGGTGTAGGCACAGAAATGGTGGATGCGGCAAAGAGCGCAACAATTTCGGCGTGCGTGGGCGTCTGGCACATGCAAGGACCGTTGGAAAAGGTCGGACGCGATGCGAACGCGATCTCTTGCCTAATCAGGTCTCGCAAGCCATCTTTTGCAAAACGGAGAGTAACTTCCGCAGCTCAGGAAGAGCAGCGCCCTTGAAGCTCTTTATGAACGATGCCGGGAATAAGCGCACGCAAGTCGAGGGGTACAGGGAAACGAATGTCGGCGGCATCGTAGCAGAGGCCAAGAGACTGAAGCTCGTTAAGTCCCTGGAAGATGGTTATCACGTCCTGGGTGGTGGTAGGATATTGCGTGGTGAGGGCGTTAAAGGCGACGTCGTTGATGCCTTTAATAATGCGGCGTATTTGGTCGTTCTGAGACATGATGGAGTTAACACGCTTGCACAGTGCAAGTACATCTTCAATATAGGAGGTGTAAGATTCACCTGGCAGCTGCGTGGGCTCAGCGAGCTTCTTCCTTGCTGCCTCAGCGCGAACTGTAGGAGCACCGAAATTTTGACGAAGTTGCTGCGCGAAAGTGTCCCAGTCGGGGAGAACCCGGTGGTGGTTCCAGGACCAAGTTTTGGCAACATCGGACAAGTAAAATGGGATGCTGCGCAACTTATGTGGATTGTCCCACCTGTTCAAATCGCTGATGAGGTTGTAGTTGATACAGTTTTCTACATCGTCATCTCGGAGACCGGTAAATGCAGGTGGATTACAGAGGCAAATGTTGTTGGGCAGAGCGGGTGGCGGTGGCTGAAGTAGTACGGCGATGTTGAATGGGCCAGGATTTTCTTGGGCGGCCATGGCAGGGGGTCGTACGCAACGACCCGAGCGGAGCTCCAGCGAGAATGGGCGAGAGGACTTGGGGAACGAGAAGCACCGTCCACCACTTGTGAGGAACTGGTTTATTCAGCCAGGCTCGAGCTAAATCACACTGGTGATGATATTTACAGATGATGAAGATGTAAAGGTGATGATAATATCTAAAGAGAATGAAGAGTCATTCGCTTGTCATGCTCACACTAATACAGCACTCAATGAAGCACAGAAGACATGTTTGTATCAATGTTCCTGTTTTGTTTTTCTAATTATAGAAAAAGTTGTGTGATTGGCCAAAACTCATGCTGTGGTGACTTTTATTAAACTGTGGTTTGTAACATGGTGCACATAATCATACGCTATAAGCTTGTAGTCAACTCTGGTCTGTTTTAACTGGTAACCTGTTCCAAAGGAAAATGCTGTAGTCGGAGCCCAGCTTATGGAGCAAGCTTTATTAGGATAGTTATGCATAAAAAAAATATCTTGTGAAATGCTTTTCGTATGATCCACGTTGAGGATTTTCTTATTTGCGAGAACAAAGTGAACTGCAGAGACTGCTGGGCAACGAGCTACCGCAGCTGTTCGACCTGATCCCCAGTAGACTACAGCACAGAGGACTTGTTAGCTTTGTTGTCACAGTGTGCCTGTAACTGACACCGCATTACACAGCGTGTTCCTATGTGTTCATTTTCTCTCCCATTCCTTGCGCAGTGGATACGCATCGGAGTGAACTTGTCCAACTTCCCCTTCAGTCTGAGCACCATCGTGTTTCACCTGGGTTTGGCAGGTGAGTGTTCTATCATTTACATAGAAGGCCAGCTTTTGCTGCATGGAATTAGGCTATGACTGTGTCTCGCATGCAAGACATATGATTAATAATGCGTGCAGTGCTTTTGTGTCAGGACCTGCCCCTCGTGTTTTGCTTGCATCCGCATTTACATCCCTTAGAAAGAAAGGAAAGAATGTGTGCACGCATTACCTGTGCGTATTACCGCATATAAGAACGTGCGAACCTTTTTTAGTGCTACCTCACTGGAGAAGTAGCGTTGCTTTAATGCAACTGCTAAAACCTTGCTTTTAAGGTGCAAATTCTACATTGCTATTTGGTACAATAATAATGAGAACCAACAGGCAATATAATGCCAAGCAAAGTATAGGGGGCATTATTAGAAGTAGTTGTAATGTAAATGTGAAGAAAGTTGAGTGGACGGAAAGATAACTTGCCTCAGCTGGGGTTGAACCTCCGACGTTTGAATTGTAACCTTGTCTAGTTGCACCTCAAGCTAAAATTACGATGCCACTTGTGTGTGCCTGCACTGTGCAGTAAAGTTATCACGTGGTAATGCAGGCTATAAGCATAGTAGTGTGTTACCGTACCTAGTTTTTATAAACCATTCTATTCCTTCTGATGGCATTAGACATCACATCAGTTCAACTGTTCATGTTGTGATAAATATGGGGCAGGTGCCTGAATTCCGTCAACATTGCTGTTTTCAGTAGGCTTGTGCCAATAACAAATTTTAGTTTCAAAGCGGATGGTGGCTTTGGTTAATAAATTCGAATAGAATTTGAAATGTATTCTGAAGATAATGAAAGTATTTGTAATGACCCAACTAACGTCTGCACAATATATATATATATATATATATATATATATTGATACGGTATGAGCCGGGCCATGTTTTGGGGAAGTTACTCGGTTCGGCCTATGTTCGCCATCATTGCCGATCGTCGGCTGATCTCTTTTGTAAATAAACATAGTTAAACTCAATCTAACCGTAACAGTTTTATGGTGTAGGTGCGGGGTACCTAACCAAGCAACATGGTTCTGCAACAACCTGAGCTACGCCGAAGTCGCTGCATTGCTGGGCTACCCCCGTTACCGCTGGTGGTTGAGATGTTTCACGGTGAAGACGGAACCCTGAACCCCACAGCTGACGGCACTGCACCACTAGTTCCAGTGACACCTTTACTACTGACCTCATCCGCGGCTGGTCTTTGGCAGTGTCAGCATCTGATAGAGCCCCGTCCTTTCGGGGTCAAATCTGGCGAGGATGTGGACGAGTGGATCAAACATTACAAGCGTGTGAGCAACTACTACTCTTGAGACGCGCCAACTCAGTTGACTAACATTGTGTTTTTCTTGAGGGACACTGCGCTCACATGGTATGAGAACCATGAGGACGCCCTCACAACGTGGGAACGCTTCGTGTCCGAAATCAAGGAGTGTTTCGGGGACACCGTGGCAAACAGGAAGCCAGCCGAACAAACGCTGCTGCAAAGAGCCCAGGTCCCAGGCGAAATGTGCACGATGTACATCGAGGCGATTCTGAAGCTATGCAAGACCGCTAACTCTTGCATGTCCGAGGAGGACAGAGTCGGCCACCTGTTGAAGGGCATCACAGAGGATGTTTATCACTTTCTTATCGGCAAAGACAGCATTGGTACAGTAGCCGATGTCATACGGCACTGTTGCACGTTTGAGACGCTGAAGATGAGGCGCATTGCTCCTAAATTTGGTCGATTACCTAATGTGACCACGGTAGCGAGTGTTGACAACTAACTACGCACCTTCTGATCTTGCGTCTACAATACGCGAGATCATGCGTGAAGAACTCAGTCGACACACTCGCGCGATGCCTTGTGAAGCTACACCCTTGCTGGTTCCAGACCAGCATCAGCATCCTGTTTCCATTGCTGCAGCAGGCATCGAGGAGTACGACTACGTTTCTGGCACACAACCGAGGCCGCAGCGCAGTCACTACCAAGACACAAGGCAGCAGCGCCGCTTCAGTTACCCTCGACAGCTGGCCGCCGACTACTCAGAACCCGAACGAATACGCACCTGTGTCACCACGCCCTCGCGATGCTTTCCAAATTGCATATCGTCAACCTCCTGTGTGCTACAGCTGTGGTGGTCCGGGACACATTACTCGGTTCTGCCGTAGGCAGAGAGAGATGACATCGAGATACGAGCTATTGTCAAGACATCCTCGCGGTGGCCACAATTATTGTGACGATGCTTGGTGGTCCACGTATCCCAATAGCACCCTACGACAAGGGAGCCGGCGTGGAACCTCCCCCGCTTCTGACCGTAGCTTGACACCTCCGCCTGGCCGAACGCATCGCTCTCCTTCACCTCTATGGCGGCGGTCCCCACCACCACCGCCGGGAAACTAGCCAGCGCGGCCGATGGAGGTGAGGTCGCACAACAGGATTCACCTCATATACCTCCGCCAGTTACGATGGACAAAAACCGGATATGTGTGTCAATAGACGGATTGTGTGCAACGGCTTTAGTGGATACTGGTGCCACAGTTTCTGTTATGAGCAGTTCGTTTAAAGATAGCTTAGGCCGCAAAGTTATGTTTTCCTATCAGGATTCTGGTAGATTTCGTGGCATGGGCGGAGACATACTTCAACCCATAGGAGTATGTGCCGTCAATGTGTTGTTCGCGGGAAAAACGTTCCCAACTGAGTTCCAGATTCTGAAACTGTGCACACATGATGTTATTCTCGGCATTGACTTCCTCCAAGAGCGTGGTGCTTTCGTCGACTGCGGCACGGGTGAAGTTTCTGTTAGCGGTGGTGATGCCCTTCCCGCCTTAGTTAAGCAGCAGCTGCCCCCGGAAGACTTACTGATTGTTTCCAGAAAGCTGACATTACCACCATGGTCTATGAGTTCAGTAGCCGTATCTACTCCAATAGCTGCAGTATCAGTCTTTGATGCCGTCGTTCAACCTCTCATGGTTCAGTGTGCAAAAAAAGATGTAATAGTGCCTCATTCGATTATTTCAATTACTAATGGCTGCGTGTTTTTGTGGGCACTTAATTCTTCATCTGCACCGATATCCTTCCTCGAGGAATGAAGCTCGCACTGTTCCATGGTGTCACGGAAAATTCTATTGTCGCCATCAACGGCGAGGAAAGTGAGAAACGCGTGGGCACCTCTAAACGAAGTACCTTCCCCGAGTCCGACATTTTGAGCATGGTTAGCAAGATGCTACGGTCACACGAACAACAACAATCGGTCCAACTATTACAACGACAGGGGTCAGTGTTTGACTTCGGCAAAAAGGGTAAGCGACTGTCTTTACCATGCTCTCGACCACAGCATGCCATAGACACAGGCTTTGCTTATCCGGTTCGGCAAAAGCTTTACAGGCTCTCGTCATCCGAGCGGAAAGTTATAGCTGAACAAGTTCAGGACATGTTGCAGAAGGGCATTATTGAAGAGTCGTGCAGCCCGTGTGCAACACCTGTGATTTTGGTTCGCAAGAAAGACGGTTCCTGGAGGTTTTGCGTTGATTATAGACGATTGAATGCCTTGACTAAAAAGGATGTATATCCGCTGCCTCGGGTCGACAACGTAATTGACTGTCTAAGTTCTGCTTCATACTTTTCTTCACTCGATCTACAATCAGGATATTGGCAGATCCCCATACACCCTGCTGACAAAGAGAAAACGGCATTTGTAACACCGGATGGACTATATCAGTTCAATGTGATGCCATTTGGGCTATGCAATGCCCCCGCAACTTTTGAAAGATTTATGGACTCGATTCTTCGCGGACTGAAATGGGAGATCTCTTTGTGCTATCTAGACGATGTTGTCATCTTTGGCCGCGCATTCGAAGAACATAACGTTCGTTTGGGCCCCGTTCTGGACTGTGTGGGAAAGGCTGGCTTGGTCTTGAACTCCAAGAAGTGTCGGTTTGGTGAACGGCAGGCCTTGATCCTTGGCCATTTGGTAGGCAAAGATGGGGTCAGGCCTGACCCCCGGAAAATTGAAGCGGTCAGCGCCTTTAAGCCACCTACGTCTGTAAAAGAACTTCGCAGCTTTCTCGAGTTATGTTCTTATTTTCGACGCTTTGCGCCTAAATTTGCAGACACATGTGTACCCATCGACCAGCCTCTTGCGAAAAGACAGTGCATTCAAGTGGACATCTGAATGTGACGCTGCGTTCTGTCAACTCGAAATTTCTGGTGACATCAGAGCCGATTCTCCGTCATTTTGACCCACCTGCTCCTACGGAAGTACACAGCGACGCAAGCGGTATTGGCATTGGAGGCGTTCTTGTTCAGCGTCATAATGACAGAGAGCATGTCGTTGCCTATACAAGTCGTTCCCTCAGCAAGGCTGAAAAAAATTGCACTGTGACCGAACAAGAATGCTTGGCAGCCGTATTTGCTATTCAGAAGTTTCGTTGTTACCTGTATGGGCGTCCTTTCACGATTGTGACAGACCATCATTCCCTATGCTGGCTCGTTACTCTCCGAGACCCTTCTGGACGCCTTGCACGCTGGGCTCTACGCCTCCAGGAATTTGACTTTAATGTTGCATACAAAAGTGGACGGCGTCATACCGACGCCGATTGTCTTTCTCGCCTTCCTTTGTCTATGACTGACGACAATACAGACACGTTCAACATCTGCTTTGCAACTGTTTCACGCACATTTCCTGATGTCACCATGTTCCAGCGGAAACAGCGCAAGTGACTTGACTTAGACTCTTTATTCGCCACTGTCAGAAGCCCCAAGGGCAGTGGTCGCTTTTGTCTTCGCGATGGACTGTTGTACAAGGTGAATTTCTCGGCAAATGGAGCGCGGTATTTGCTAGTGGTTCCCCAAAGCCTGCGGTACGACGTCCTTCATATCATGCATGATGACCCGACGTCTGGCCATCTTAGATTCATCCGCACTTTGCATCGAACTCAAGAGCGCTTCTACTGGCCTAAAATGCGACAATGTACGAAGCAATATGTCTCCAGTTGTGACAAATGCCAGTGCACAAACGTCCTACAAGCAGTCCACATGGCCTCCTTCACCCTATAACGCCGCCCACAACACCTTTCGAACAAGTTGGTATCGACCTGCTAGGACCATTTCCGCGGTCTTGCAACAACAATCGCTGGATCATAGTCTGCGTCGATCACCTTACCAGATATGTGGAAACTGCCGCGATACCATCTTCCACAGCGGATTCCGTTGCCTCTTTCCTGTTACGATCCATCGTTCTTCGCCATGGTCCACCTCGTGTCATCATCAGTGATCGCGGTCGCCAGTTCGTCGCCGACACTGTAGAGGAATTGCTTCGTCTCTGCACTTCGCAGTTTCGCCATTCAACGCCATATCATCCCAGATGAATGGCCTTGTGGAACGCACAAACCGCACGCTTACTAATATGCTGGCTATGTATGTATTCTCAAATCACAGGAACTGGGATGACATTTTGCCATTCATCACCTATGCTTATAATACAGCGAAGCACGAAACCACGGACTTCACTCCGTTCTACCTACTCTACGCTCGACCATCGTGCAGCTGCCTCGATACGATACTTCCATTCGAGCTCCATACGGACGATTCAGTTGCTCAAACACTGTGCCGAGCTGAAGAAGCCCACCAAATTGCCCATATTCGCACACTGGCATCGCAAGATCGCTGCCAAGGAGAGGTATGATCAACGCCACGACACCGTTTCATTCGAAAAAGGGGACCTCGTGGGGTTGTGGACCTCTCAGCGGAAACGTGGCTTATGCCAGAAATTTTTAGCGCACTATGTCGGTCCATTCGTTATTCTAAATCGCCTGAGTGACTTGACCTACATGGTGGCACGCTTGACCTCAGCTGGTCGTCGGTGAAGCCAAACACAGTTGGCACATGTAGCTTGTCTCCAGCAGTTCCATCCCACACTACGCCAATGATTTGGCTCACCCAGCGGGCTTCGTCTGTGAACCGGGGAATGATACAGTATGAGCCGGTCCATGTTTTGGGGACAAAAGTAGAGGAAGAGGAAGTTACTTAGTTCGGCCTATGTTCGCCATCATCACCGATCGTCGCCTGATCTCTCCTGTAAATAAACATAGTTAAACTCAATCTAACCATAACAATATATATCAAACGAGGCATGTGCAAATGTTGGGCCAAGGAAAGTAAGTGGAAGCAACTTTGAATAGTAGCAGGGTTTGACTTTCAGTAGAATGCAAGTGATAACCTGTAAGATACATTACTGTTTAAAATTTACTGTACTTAGAGCATATAAGCCGGTATAACAAGTCTTTAAACTTAAGAATTGATGCATAGACGCATGGATAACATGCTTGTTTAACCTAGAAGTAAAGCTTTGCGGTAGTGCTGATTTCTCCTGGATGGGTGTATTCACGGTGTATCACTCATTCACTGCAGTGAAACCGTCCTTACGGGAGGTTACATGTGGTTTATTTTTGTTTATTCGTTAATTTGGAATACTTACAAATTTCCAATCATTTAAATTTCAATTGAAGCGAATTCGAATACTGTAGTATTTGTTTGAATATTCAAAGTGCTCGAATATTCACACAAGCCTACTGTTTAGAGTTAGACTGAGAGCAAGTCACTTTGTTCAACACCATAATGATAGTGTTTAAATGTTTGAGTTGTAGGTGAGACATTTTTGGAGTGCCTCTTCTTTCTGGATACGATGCTGTTGTACGACTTGTCTTCTTGCTCCACAGCCATCTTCGGCCTGTTTTGTTGCTTCTGGCTACGGCTCAACATGTTCACAACACTCAAGTACCTGGCCGGGCTGGGCACAGTCACCTTCATCTCGGGCCATGGCATGCTCACACAGCTCACGCAGAAGAAGTAGAGGTAGGTGAGGATGCCTCTGCGATTTATGTGTACCGTATTACTGGTGGTGTGTGCCAGGAAGATGGCCTCGCAGCTCATTAGCTGGGAAAGCTAATGCGAGTCCTTCTGCAGTTATTGTAGGAAAGCGACTCGGTGGTTGTCTTTAGCTATAGGATGCTGGACTTTAGGTAGATTGCAAGACTAGCTGGAACACTGAACTTTGATGCATTTCCAGTGCTTAGTTAAGGGAAGTAGGTAGGGGAGAGCGGGGGTAGGGGACGCGCAGACACAGAAAGCAAAAGGGGCAGTACAAATACTGTCACTTTTTTTGCGGTTGATGAAAAATGCTATCTGTTTCCTGGGGCTTTTGCATTACAAATGGAAGTGAGAACTGCATGAGTGCTGCCTGTATCATCTTCTTGCAAATAAATAAGTGAATAAATAAATTCATTATGTTTTTGAAAACTTATCTACTTTCTATCACTGTTCGGTGGCACACTGCATGTGCCACATTCCCTGTTGCGGTGTCCTTTCACGCGTTTTAAGTGTATAAAAACCTGCTCCGCCTGTGTAATATCTTTCTTTCTTTCTGTGTGGGCATATATATTTTTATTCTAATACACTCAAGCGCTGTACATCCATCAAAATACATTGAATGCGTCGACACTTGCGCTTTTTCTTTCACCCTTTCCCTCATGTAGGGTAGTAAATCAGAGAAATCTTAGCCTCCCTGTCTTCCTTTCGTTCTCTATCTCTACTGAAGTTTGCCACTGCTTGTAGAGACTTCATTCTTTATACTATCAAAACTTGCAACAGCAATGGTATTATTATGAAGAGCATGACATGCTATTAACCAAATTGAGTTTTCGGTTCCAACTCGGCAAACAGTTGTTTGGAGGAAAGTTGATTGCCTCTGTGCCATGCCAGCTGGGCTCCCTCACACATTTCTAGTTAGAGAGACCTGAAATGTTGGCTGTACTCGTGTTTTTATCGTGCTTCCTCATGCAAGATTGCTTTTTAGCTGCACTTTGCCATGCTTCCGGTAGCACGCGTTCACTCGAGCGGCAAGCTTAGCCAGTGGTACACAGATTAGTGCTGTCGTGAGTACCGTGAATTCAGAAACTATGTACCGAATATAGGTCACTTTTTGTGTCGTGTATGGGACTATTTCCATTTCTTATCTCAAAATGGACCATTTCCATCTCTTATTGCTGTAAATCTATATACCAGTCACTGTTGCCTTGCCTAAAATTAAAAAAAAAAAAGAAATGAGAAAGTTGCGGGAATCTTTTTGTAACCATATCCAATCCACAAAATTGAAAACGTATTCTGCGTTAATAATCTGTACGAGGCATTAAACCAGCTGCTTTGTGTCAGCACAACGCTGTGTCCTTTGATGTTAATTGCTCTCGACTGAAATATGCAGAATGTAACAATATCAAATTCTATAAATGAAAAGAATTTAATTACCTGACCTCTCTATGTGATATATTCAAAAGAATGGTTCTCAATGCCATGCTTTTGAACACTTTTCATGGAGCACATGCTGGTATGAGTTACAGTGAAGTGTTGGCAGCTTGTGAATGCACTATTTGCATTCTAACTTTGAATTTGTAATAATATTGCTAAGTGCCAGCCATTCATAGAGTACTGAACCAATCCAATACCTCATTATTCTAAATCTTGCACATAAGAATCTTCATGCACAGAGGTTCATTTCGAGACAATTTCATTTAAGCAGCAACGTGCCGATGTGTTGTCGTGCACTGGCTTACTAATCATGTAGTCATGATTTAGGGATTTAGTTATGTGAGTCTGAGCACATGCTGGTGAGATATTTTATTTTGGTATCTTCAAGTTTATTTTCTCGAGACACACCAACGTCGAGCAGTAGCTTGACCTCGGGCTACAGTACGAATAGTGGTCACTTCACGCTGCACACTGGCTAGTTGTGGTGATGTCAGGCACCAAAACTTTCAAAATAGCCACTTGCGTGCCACCAGCAGAGCCACAGTGTGGAGCAGCTGTGGAAACTTCTCGATATTTTATGTGAGTGCATGAGAAGCTCGTACCATGTTGTCACGGCGGGGTACTGTAGGAACCGAAACTAGCTTTTCGAAATCGCACTGTAATTACTTTTTGAGGGCGCACTCACACATTTAGCCCTTGATTTTTTTTTTTTTCATTTCATGCCGGAAAAAAAAAACTGCTCAAATTTTGGTGTCAGTACCACTGTGAGAAATTGTGATGATGCTACAAAGAGAAACTCTGAGCGGTCTACGAAAGCACCGCAGCGGCTGTGTCAAAGGGCAGCAGCAGTTGTTGCAACTTGGGTCAAACTGTATCGCCATTCAAAAGTTGCGTCGGCTTCTCATTTCACTTTTTCTCTGCTTTCTTTTTCTCTTTGCAGATCATATAAATGGAAGTCATCGGAAGCAAGGGACAGGGAAGGCATCATTCCTTTTTTTTTTTCTTACTTTATAGTGTGCAGGTGGGGAAGCTGCATGTGTCGTGTGCAAGGACATTTTTCATTCCATGGGTCTCTGTTTTCATGAGTGTATGGCTGTGCCATTTCTTTATGAGCTTGTATAGTAGTACGGTGAGTGACAGTGTGCTTCATCGCTGGAACACTCTTGCAAATGTTTTTGTTACTTTGTATTTGGTTGTTTTTCCTGTTTTATTTCATGCCTCTGTGGCCGCTTAGTAAAGTGATTGAGAAAGCTCATGGTTTTTTTTTCTAAATTTTTTTTTCACTCACACTATCTGTCTGCCATGTTGAAGACCTGTAATAAAAAGTTCTTTTTCAGACAATACAACCTCTGCCTTTTTTTTTTTGTTCAAGTGTCTGTAGCTTCAATAGTGCATCGCTTGTCACTGACTAGTCGACAGCAAACTGAGTTTTTTAACAAAATTTTCAACTATGTTTGCCTCTTCGGCATAACACACGTAAGCTTTCCAGTGAACAAATAAATAGCTTGTGGTGATATTCTTACAATGTCCAGTTTTCAAGTGTAGGTGTTCTGCTGCAGCATGCTTTGAAAACAATAGATGATGTATAACACTGTCGGGTGGAGGGAGTCTTAATGAAGTACTGCCTTATAGCCATCATGGAAATAGCTGACCAAGTGAAGAGAGTCGCACCCAGATTTCTCACTTGTAATGCTCTGAAATAAGTCATGGGCAACGAAAAACATTATTTCACTGGGATATGTTCTTTTTTTAATACATGCTGAAGGGCCATTCGGTGAACCACGTGCACAAAAACATAACACTCTCACAAAAGTGATGCGGACAGTCGTTCCTCTATTCAATAAAAAAAAGGAAAAGAAAATTGACTATTACTTTTAGAACAGAGTCAAAGTGCACATTGGTTTGCGTTGACAGCACCCAGACAATGTGCCGCCATACCAGATAGGCATAAGGGCACCACTTTGCTGTCGGAATATTGTCATGGAATGATATTGCCGTAAAATGCATGTACTGTGGCTCTGTTGCAAATAAAAAGGGCTGGCGATGTTCACAGATATACTGAACTGAATGCACTACACAAAAGATGAGCAGAAACCATGCCACTTGTCGAGTTTGAAGACTCTCCTGCATCTGGCGCTCTACGTTAGGTAAAGGCGAGAAGGTTTAACAAAAACTGGAAGAGTGGAAATTATCGCCCTCGAGTGAAGCCATACGCACCATAAATGGCAGCTGCAACAGCCATCTTACTAGGGGCATAATGAGCTGATGGCGTTCAACGATTGAGAAGGAGCATTTTCCTCACACGCCCAATGAGTTTAACATGGCAACATTTTTTGGGCAAATACTGCTCAAAGTGCTTACTTGTATTACTAGTTTTCTTTAGTAATGCCTTGAATTTAGGGCAAATTTATTAGATATTAAGTCACGGGGCTTGTCTCTGTGGGTTACTATATTAGAAACAAACATCTTTTAATTTATAATTAACATAGCCTTTAGGCTAACAGGTGAAGGCCACTTGATGTCTATTTGAGCACCACCAGAAAGTAGCATGCTTTCGAGATTTTCGAAGGGTAAAAGCCGGCTTCACTATTGCTGGCAAAGCATTGTGGGAGCTTCCACGTCTAGCAATATTTTTTTTAAACCTCCTTGGAAAAAGGCAAGTATTTTCTTTGTCTTTCTTGATGATAGTACACTGAGTCTAGGCTAAATGTGTGGCATTCCCTAGGTAATTTCAAGGAACACTGGAGCAGGAATTAATACCACGAAGAGGATAACACTTTGGAAATAAACTGCTGTAACATGTAGCATTGCAAGCCGCTTGGGAAACTCTAATCTATAAACGGCGTGTGCTCTGGGAGCATGGGAATCGGTTGGGACAAAAAATAAAGCTGCGATACATTCAAAAAGACGTATGACTTTTCTGAAACATTGAATGCTCTAACCTGGCGCACGCAGCCCTGCCATTTGTCTAGCAAGCGCATACAATTGTCCGAATAAAATACGGTTTCAGGCGGAAGAAATTGACGCCATGTAGCTGTAGCATGATTAACGCAAATCTTGAGCAACCGAAATTCGATAACCTGCTCTACTTGAAACAGGCAAGTAGTTAAGAACACGTGCTCCACGAACTAGTTTCGCTATATATATAAAAAAAGAGCATCTTCATGTGCGTCTTAGTGGTCACTGCAAGAGACAGCTCGCTGCCAACCATTGTATCTCTACGTGAAAGGCACCACAAAGAGTTATCGGTAGTCCATCTATAAAGTTCTAAACAACTGTAGTCGACAAGTTTTTTACAGCTTTAACGAGCTGGGTGTACTTCGGGCATACTGCACGGAATAAATCTGATACGGAATCTAGCGAGTTCGAAAAGGCGCGCTTATTATCGAGTCAGTCCGCGTCTAACGCGGCGTAACCGCATAAAAAATATTAAGGTCAATGATAAGCGTAGTTTAAAGTCGTAAAACGCGTGTCGCGTCTGAAACGCACTGGACAGAAACCGCAACCTTCGTGACGTCACGTGACTGGCGTGCTCGCACGCCCTCTTTATTAAGTAATTAAAGCTTTTATCTTTCGCGTAATCGTTTCCACATCAAGGTTGACTCATTATAAATTCTCACCAGTTTTTATTGCAAAAATTTTGGGTGGTAGTTGCGGTCGACTCGGAGTCGCGGCGTCGCGTCGATGTGTGTCCAATCCCTGGCCAGTTAAATACCGCCATTGCGCCTCGTGGTCTCACTTTACTCTCGACGAGGGAGGCAGCCGTCTTTTGTCGTCTCTGCGTCGACTATGTAAGTTGGGCGAAATCGTCGTCCTCTTCTTCCCACCGCGTTTCTCCACGTCGGGCACGGGTTGTAGACTACGCCGCACGGAAATCGTGTCCATCGGTTCATCGGAGCTCAGCGTCGTTTCAAATAAGTGAGGTCGGCTAGTTTCAATGGAACCCGCGAACCCTAACTCGAAGCGCGGCAAATCGCTCTACAATGCCGAGCTTTTCTGCGTCCGCGCATTGATTTTTGTCCCGTTTTCTTCTTGTACGGGTTTCACTTCTCGTTTCCCAGTCCGCCCCGTTTACCGACTTTCTTGCGCGAATTGGAACGCGCGTAGCGATGCGTTCGTGACGATTGCGACTCGGTCATTTCGTGCACCGATTTTACACCCCGAATTTCAAACTTGTTAAAAGCCGCGTGTGTGACCGGCTTGCGTAGTTGCGAACGTCTTCGAAAATGTGCGCGTGCTCCAGTGTTAGTCGTGCCCAGATCGTGTTCTATTTCTTACTGACGGCGCGAGAGGAATCCAGGCACCTCGCCTTTGCTCTTTCACCACGTGGAGTGGAACTGAGCTCTTGGGCTAGGTGTCGCGCCGGCTTATTCAGCGAGTAAGAACGCGCTGTTGTTAGCGTCTCGAGTAGTGACATTGTGCGACTGGCGAAGCGATTCCTTTTGAACGATCTGTCACTCATTTTCTTTATCGCGTGTTTTTCCCGCCGCTCTCTTGCCTGGACCGGCGGCGCCGGCTCGCTGGTGGCGGGCGGCTGCTGTGTCAAGTTACGTCACGGCGCGGCGCAATTAATGCTACTGCGTACTTGAGAGACGAGTCACTGGGGCTTTCTTCCTCTTGGGAGAGAAAGCACTGGGCTTCTTCGCTGTGTCCCGCGTCGTCGTTCACGTTCGCCTTTTCTTTCTCTTTTGCAGAACTTATTTCACAATGGCTGAGCCTACTCGGTGAGTTCACGGACCTTCGTCTCACGAGCGAGTCTGAATGAAACAACAAAAAAAAGCGAAATGCCGGTTTTTGTGGTTTGTTTGTGAAGCCGCCTCCTGTTGTCAAGTGACCGCTTGTCGGCTTTGTTTTTTAACCTCCCGAGCACCAGCCGAAGGCCATTAAAGCGGCGCACTCTTTTTTTTTTTTTTCTGCGGATAGCTTGACCGTGGCGTTCCTTTGTTACGTATGCCGGCGGAAGACATTCCGCCAATGGTAACGAACAAGAGCTTGTCTAACTTGCGAGCGTTGGGTGCTCCTTAGGAGATGTCATGTTTTCTGTAATAGGTCTTCATTTCCCCGTGTTTTGTGATGGGCTGGCGCAAAACCGCGTCCCCCACTGCTGTGAGGGAGGTGGGTCGTGTTGTTAGGAGTACGAGAAATCAAACGATCGGGTGTTATAATACCGCTCTGCAGAAGTGAACGTTTATTTGCAGCTCTTGACATTGGTCATTCCTCGTGTGTTCAAACCTACGATGTTCGTTAGGCATTGTGTTGATGTGGTTTCATTCTGCGTGGAAGATCTCTGAAGTGCCCAGCTCGTTGATTGCAGTTATGTTTTTTTTTCTTCATAGCTGAATCTGTTAGCACAAGCATTCACTATAAATTGGAGCATAGCAGTAACTGCTTGAGATAACCTAAAGCTTCACATCTTTCGTAATCTTGTGATGCCCACAGTATTGGCTGCATGAACGAGCTGTCATTTGTTGGCTGTAGTCAAGCTTTAGTAATAGCTTAAAATAGCTGAATCCCTAGAATAGTGCTAAAAAGTACTTGCAACTTTTGATGCATTGGCTGATGCATAGCAGCTACAGCAAGTGCATATCCAATTCTTCGGAACGAAATCTCATTTGTGAGGCAAAATACATAAACTCGGATGTCAAATAAAAGCAAAGAGTGCATTCTACAATAACTCCGAAAAGAAATAACTCGGCACTGTATGAAATACATAAAAAGTAAATATGGCAAAGTTCTCATAATTTTTAGCTATAACTTTTTCACTTAGGTATGTTGAATAAAAGTGCCACATTATCGAAAAACATCTTTGCAGCAAACCTTAACGTGAGACCGGCCTGGGCTTTTAGTTTTGTATGTAGGGCCGGGCGGGCTCGGGCTTCCCTACAGTTTTTCGTTCTACATAGTTTGTGTCAGTTTCAGAGTGCAGTGACAAAGGGACTACTGTTAAACAAATAATCCACTCCTTCCCATCAAGTCATTGTTGATACTTTTGATATCAGCATGTCTTGTAGAAACGTATTGTGTCACTGGAGAAGACTTCCTAGTTTTAACGAGTTACTTGTACAGCATTCTTTAGCTGTCAAAGATCTCGGCATTTTTATGGAGCAGTTGTCGTAACAAGCAACAGCCCTTATAGCCAACATTGTGATTGACATGGGAGCCCTTCATCAGTTTCAACAGACGAGTCTTATTAGATAGCTATTTAACTCTTACTTTATGCATTCATAACAATATGTGTGAATGCACTGTGCTTTCGCACTTGCAGAGAAGCTATGTGTAAGGTGAGGTGCTACTTGAAGACAATTTCTTTTTTTTTATTTGCAATAGTCGCATACCGTTTATTCGG